TTATATTTTTTAATAGTTTCTTTTCCAAATGATGTGTATTTTAATCCACTATATCGCAAGTGAGCTAAAACAATGTATTTTTCTTTACTGCTTTAAAGGGAACATTCTGTATTTTATGATAAAAACGAAAGAAATTTTTGGTTTCGATGTTTTATAATAAATAAATAAATAAACTAATAATTTTTTTTCGTTTAAGTTAAGGTTTCGGTTAAGAGTGCCATGGCTATGTTAAAAACACTAATTTGTAATCAAGGAAAAATATATTTGAACGTTTAATGTTTTTAGTGTCTTGTCCTGGCCGGTTAAAAGATATCCAAATTGTATTTTTAATCATATCTCATTTTTTTCAAATGGGTGGCTCATTAGTATATTTGGAAAAAGTGTTTTTTTACGAATAATTTGAAAGCACACACTTGGTATTTCGACTCAAATTGTCGTTAAGAACCACTTGTTACAATTTCAAATATGATATGTCATTTTATTGAAAGAGTCGTTTTCTATCGAATAAAGTAAAAAAATTCCTGGGGTGCCATTTAAGAATCAAAAGTTGTAGTCATTTCCGTTGCAGCAGGAAGTGACCGAAAACAATTGAATACGTCAATAAATCCTAATTTATGTCATATACTAACATACTCAATCTCGTTATTCTAACTGAAAAAATAAAAAAGTTTAGGGGTGAGCCACCGGTATAGCATTACATTTTAAAAACGTACAATTTTAGTTAGAAAATTACCTGTATATTGGCTTTTTTGAAAAAAATTCATGATTTGTAAAAATTAAATAAAATAAAAGTTAAAGTTCCAAACAGAAATTGTCACATGAATCCTTTTCGGAATTGTGGTTCCTCACTTAATCAACAAATTCAAATACATTGATCATCTAAAGCCCAATATGTAAATAAAGACAAATAATACTGAAGATGACCTTTTTAATTAACAATGTTAATTACGATAGTGCAGAATTATTGACGATGATTCACTACTCGAAATTGGATACGAATTTAGACGCGTTATTTATAAAATGCACCTATCAGAGTGGAAATGTTCAGTGGAAATTTATTTATCGAAGTGGATTGGATTCGGACAGCCATTTCCAACAGAATAAACAACAACAAACATTTAATTTGCTCGTTTGTGTTTGCTTGGTCTTATCGCAGATTAACCTGACTTTTTTCCAATCTTTAAATGATTTGATATTAATATTATGGAACAATCCATAGAGCCATTAGTAAATATATTTGCAATGGATTATAACGATATTTATTATTATGAAAAATCAGAAAAAAACATATATACAGGGTGTTTCAAAAAATATGTGCCATAAAAATAAAATTTATTTTTCATATCAACATAGGTCCGATTCTGCTTTGTTTCGTAGCTACAGGGTATTAAAATCTTATTATTTTTCCGATTTATTATAATTTTCTTCCAAGTACTTTTAGTGTTTCAAATGAAATTTTGAGGGTAAAAGTTACTATAAATGCGATATATTTTAAAGCTAAAAAAGTGTCGAAATAGTGTAAGCAGTTTAATGCCGATTGAAAGTTGTCTCTTGATATTTTGTCGATTTCGGCCTCCTTGAAAAGATATACGCAATTTTATTAATTTGCCTTGATCCAAGTCTAACAGCAACCTTAAAAAAAAGGCAACGGCCTAGCTACGTTAAAACACCGGTTCTCATTAGAACACCGAAGTTAAGCGACGTAAGGCGATACTGGTGGATGGACGGGTGACTGGTTCGAAACTCTGTATCGTGCTGTTGTCCAAGGGAAAAGTGTAAAATCTATTGATACACACTGCTCATTCACGCCGGTTCGAGGCCGGATGAGATCGGATATCTCGTGAGTAAGAGTTAATTTAGACACTTCCTAAGTCGGTAGGCCACTGACCATGATATGGCCGAGGACCGCGGTTCGGATTCCGCGTAAACAAAGTAGGCCCCGTCCAGATTAGCCCTGGCAGCAAAAAGGAGACGTTAACTGATATCTTTACTTTACTTTTACTTCAAAAAAAATAATATCATTAACTTGCGAAAGTTTTAAATAAGTACTCATTGATCTCTCATCAAAAAATATGAAAAAAAATTGTGGACTGAGTATGGAAATGCATAGTTTTAGAGTTACAGGACGCTAAAAAATTTTAAAATTAGTTTTTCTGTAATTATCTTAAATACCATTATTTTTTTATTTGAAATTGCTGTAGGTTGGACTAATAGTAATAATAACTAATGGTAATAATGTTTAATAATAAATTAGGTGAAATATAAAAAACAAACAAACAAACAACGCTTCATTGTACAAAAAGCCAAAACAGCTTCATCGACAAAGCACTCACAAACAACAAAATCACAAAAAAATACAAACAACAAAAAATTCACAATACAAATAATACAATTCAAAAAAATTTAAGTCTTTAAAATTACAAAAAGAATATACATGGACAATTTTAGAACAGTACGCAGTAAATAGATATAATTTTAGAGTTATAAAATATTAAATACTTGACCTTTGACCAGTGTGTGAGATGATCAAAATTTTAAAATTCAAAATTGTTCATCATTAAACATCAACAAAAAAGTCGTTTACCGCATATAGGGCTCCAGTAGGTATGATTTTAGAGCTTTGCGAAATGCGGGAAAGAATGAAAGCGACTTGATATTCAAAGGCAGATGATTGTACATTTTTTTGGCATTGTACAATATTGAACCTTTAACTAGTTCTGAGCTCGGGGTTGGCAGATAAAGATCGTGCTCTGCATTCCTAAGTGGATAGTTATGAGATGGCCTTTCGGGAATAGCAGATATGTACTTGCGGATTAAGCAAACGGATTCAAAAATGAATAGAAGAAGGAAGAGTCAGTATTTTCAAATTTTTAAAGAAATTCTGGCAGTGAGTTCTACTGTTCAGTCCCAATAAATATCGAACTGCTCTCTTTTAAAGTCTGAAAACACGATCAAAGTTTGTTGCGCAGCAAGTACCCCAGAATGGAAGGGCATAACGAAGATGTGACTCAAAAAGGGCATAATAGGCTATTCTAGAGGTTGATAAGTTAAGTTCCTTAAAAACTGATCTTAGCGCAAAACAGGCATCGCTTAGTTTCTTTGATAGAGCTTCAATGTGAAAGTCCCATTTTAACGAGTTGTCTACAACAAGTCCTAAGAATTTCACAGAGTCCACGACGTCAATAGTGGTGTTATTAAGTACAAAAGGTTGTATAGTACTTTTATATGACAAAACTTTAGTTTTTGATAGGTTGAGGCATAGGAGATTAGAATCGCACCAAGACTTAATGGTGGGTAAGTCACTGGATAATAGTATCATATAGTGCCGCAATTATATATATTTTTTTATATCAATTATATAAAATATAATAAAAATTAAAATTAATTATAAATTATAATTAAATTATAATTTCAATTAATAAAATTAAAATATTTTATTTTAATTTTATTAATTGTGATTAATAAAATTTATCTCATCAAGGAGGCGGAATTCGACAAAATATCAAGAGATAACTTTTAATTGAAATTAAGCGGCCTACACAATTTTGATATCAAGAGAAAAAGTCAGTGGCGCACATGTTTTTTTTGAAAAATATTCCAGTGATAACCCATATGCACGTCCCTGATGAATATATCGACACTTTTTTAGCTTTAAAATATGTAGATAATAGGTAATATAGATAATAATAATAATAAGAGGATTTCGGTGGTTTTATTACACTATAGTTGTTTCAAGTCTACTTTGTGACCTGTGTTCCATGAATGTTGACAAATTTTATATTTGGAGAAATAACACTTTCTTAAATAATTTTTAGTGGAGGATTCCTTTTGAAACTTGTCGGTTTAAGATGAAAGATATTTGCACACGGTTTTAACACTTGTTAGATTTATTACAAGTTATATGGAACTGGTTTATGAATTTGCGGTATGCTTTATACATATTTTTCAAAAATACTGTACCGGGTGCGTCTCAGAAGTGGCTCACCCTTTAAACTTTTTTATTTTTTCAGATAAAAAATGAGATTTGGTATGTTAGTATATGACATAAATTAGGATTGATTGACGGATTCAATTGTTTTTGGTCACTTTCTGTTTCACCGGAAATGACTACAACTTTTGATTTTTAAATGGCACCCTTGGTATATTTTTACTTTGTTCGATAGTTCGATGGAAAATGACACTCTGAATAGAATGATATATCATAGGTCAACTTTTGACATTTTCGCTTAAAAAAAATCGTATTTTAAATTTCAAACTAGGCTGTGTTAAAAATACTAATTTTTAATCAAGGAGCCTTGGAAAAATAGATTTGATCGTCTAATGTTTTTCGTGTCTTGTCCTAGCTGGTTAAAATATGTCCATATCGTTTTTTAATCATATCTCAATTATTTCAAATGGAACAAGGGTAGCTCATTATTAGCATATTTGGAAAAAGTATTTTTTTACGAATAATTTTGTACCATACACTTGGTTATTTGGAGTCAAATTTTCGTTATGAACCGCATGTTACAATTTCAAATAAACCATATGCGAAAATTTCAAAAGGTGACATATGATATGTCATTCTATTCAGAGTGTCATTTCTATAGAATAAAGTAGAAATATACCGAGGATACTATTTATGAATCAAAAGTTGTAGTAATTTCTGGTGAAACAGGAAGTCAGTGGCGGATACAAAGGGGGGCCGATGGGGCCAAGGCCACCCCTAAAATCTGTAAATGGGGTTAAATATTAGGCTTTTGGGTTTAAAATGGCGCCTTAAAAAGCATATTCTACATTACTTACTATTTGGGCCCCCCTCCCCCCTAAAAAAAATTCCTGTATCCATTCCTGCAGGAAGTGACCAAAAACAATTGAATATGTCAATCAATCCTAATTTATATCATTTACTGAATACCAAATCTCGTTTTTTATAACAATTAAAAAATTATAGGGGTGAGCCACTTTTTTTTTAACACATTCCTCCTTAAATTTAATTCTTACTTTGTGATTCTTTCCAGAAAAATGTCTAACCATATAACCAATCAAAAACACGCTGAAGTGGACCACGAGGAAAGCATGGAGTTGGATCCTTTGACAAGAACCAACGAAAAAAGGACCAGGTTTCAAGTAAATAGGGTTAGGAATGAGAGTTACAACAAGGAGAAAAATGGTGGTATAGGTTCGGAACATGGCCAGGATGATCAGAATGAAGAAGAAGATTTGCTTACTAGCACAGACAGAACTAGACTAAGTTCTGAAATTGCCAACAAGAGTTTAAGGTATGCAGAAGATTTTTTTAAATAAAATAATTCTATTTAGTGTTAGTGTCTAGTAAAGTAAACGTTGTGTTGCTAGTTTTTATATATAAATATACGGATTACGGGACGTCGCGCGTCGTTGCAGCCACCCTAAAGCAATGTACCTATTAATAAATGCTGAATATGTTTCAGAAACCTAGGGGTAGGCATTACAAATTTTGTTCTGGATTGTCATTTCGAAGGCCACTACGACTCGTTTTTTTTTCGTTCATTCAATATTTTCAATAATCTTTTAACTAAATATACCGGGTGCGTCTCAAAAGTGGCTCACCCCTATAGCTTTTTTATTTTTTCAGATAAAAAAAAACGAGAATTGGTATGTAAGTATATGACATAACTTAGAATTGATTGACGTATTCAATTTTATTGTTTTTGTTCACTTCCTGTTTCACCGGAAATGACTACAACTTTTGATTTTTAAATGGCACCCTCGCCATTTTTTACTTTATTCGATAGTTCAATGACATTCTGAATTGAATGACGTATCATATGTCAACTTTTGACATTCTCGATTAATAAAAAATCGAATTTTAAAATTCAATCTAGAGTGCCATGGCTATGTTAAAAACACTAATTCTTAATCAAGGAGCCTTGGAAAAATAGATTTGAGCGTCTAATGTTTTTAGTGTCTTGTCCTGGCCAGTTAGAAAATGCTCAAGTCGTATTTTTTGTCATATCTCAATTTTTTTCAAATGGAACGAGGGTGTCTCATTAGCATATTTGGAAAAAGTATTTAGAAATTTTAGAAAAAGAATAATTTGATACCACACACTTACTTGGTATTTCGAGTCAAATTTTTGTTACAAACCGCAAGTTATAATTTCAAATAAACCATATGCGAAAATGTCAAATGTGACATTTAACATTTGTTCATTGCAAATGACATATGATATATCATTCAATTCAGTGCGCTATTTTCTATCGAATAAAGTAAAAAAATAGCGATGGTGCCATTTAAAAATCAAAAGTTTTAGTTATTTCCGGTGAAACAGGAATATTCAATTGTTTTCGGTCACGAAAACAATTGAATACGTCAAACAATCCTAATTTATGTCATATACTAACATACCAAATCTCGTTTTTTATTGAAATAATAATAAAGTTATAGGGGTGAGCCACTTTTGAGACGCACCCGGTATATTAGTGATTGCATCCAAAAGCTGAAATTAGATTTTTTTTTAAATTAGATTTTTTTTATTTTTAATATTTATATTTGAGTTTATTTCTTTTATTATTCAATATTTTCGTGTCTATTTGTGAAATTGTAGCATGTAAAGAATTTTAATTAATTATAAAAAATATATTAATCATAAACAAGGGTATTAGCTTAGAAAAAAGAAATAAATTTTATTTTGTATCTTGTCTTGTTTGTAGATGTCAGCCAACCTCTTTAGAAATGTGATGGATTATGATTGCTATCTATAATATGGAAAAATACTTTTCCAGGAAGTGTTGAGTAGTTCATAAAATTTTGCAAAATTAATTAAAACAACTAGATATAATTTGATAGACATAATATTATTATATGAATATTTTTTCTTAAAACTCTTAATCCGGAAAATATACATAACAAAGAAATTACTAATTTTTATAGATAATTTTTTATGCATAGTAGAACAACATAATATAATTCAATATGTTCAATAAGATTCAATGCCTGTAATATTTAATGCCTGTAAGTTCTGTTGTAATATTTAATGCCTGTAAATATTTAATGCCTGTAAGTTCGTAGTACTCATATTCCTGGTACAAATAATATAAAATTTTAATGTAATACTACAAAATTAGTCTTCTAGGAACCGAATTTGAGTCGAGTGTTACTGAAATGATGTTATTTAGCTGGAACTACTTATGATCACATATTTTTAAAATGAATTATATTTTTTACAAGCCTCCGCATCATATGAGAAGCGCCACCCTATACAGGGTGTCCCAGAAATAAGTGCAAGTATTTTAACTGGTAGTATAGTTCAACCCCAGAAACACGCCTATGAGGTTTTTTCGCGAAAAAAAGAATTTTAAAATTCGGAATTTTTTGAAAAATTTTTTTGGAATTTTTTTTAGTTTTTAGCTAAACAACATAATTTCTTGATAATATGGCAACATAGATAGTAGATTAAATTTAAAAGAAAGAAAATCCAGAAAATATCCAGTTGTTCTCAAAATTTTAGCATCAAATATTTTCTTTTTGAAATTCATTTTTGCTGGAAATTTTCAAAGTAAAATAACTCCGTTATTTTAGGACTAGATAAAAATTTATAAAAAAACGATAAAGAGAAAATATGTTTCTTTTATCGAGATCTACAACCCCTTAAAATACTTGCACTTATTTCTGAGACACCCTGTATAATGACAGATTAACAAATTTTATGAGGATATCAAAATCAAAACCCGCTTGATCTTGAAACTGGTTGATCATGCTCTATTGTATAATATCGTTGATAGTAATATAATTGGGAAGATACGCAACCTAAAGGGCAAATTCGTTACAAGGCTGATTTTATTTCCCTTTACGTCACAAGTGCTGTACGGTGGAGACACCAATCTTTCTGCGGCCAACGCATAAAACACTTATTGTCTCTAATTCGGCCATCATCCACTCTGTCGACTGAAAGTAGAACTACGGTACAGTATTCTTTGTCCGCTGCGCTGTAAACGACTATAAGCGCGCCGCGGCGCAGAGCTAAACTAAATCTCGGACAGGTTGACTAGCGGCGACGGGATTGCCAGCTATATCTCGGACAGGTTTTGTGCCACGAAATCATCCATAAGGTAGTGCATCTTCTTATTTCTTCAATCAACGATGATATGTTGTGTTTTCTTCAAAAATATCATACAGAAGGACTCAAAAAAAGATGTACCTATTTAGTGAATTATTTCAAATGAAACATCATGTGTTTGGTTCTAACCTTGTTCTAACCCTTCTGTCATAATAATTTTTGTTATTTTTTATTTTACTTGGTGAGAATTAGGTATCGAGTTTGTCAAAAAATAGGAGAGTTCATTACTGGACATGTTATACAGAGAGGTGTTTAACTGTTATATATATATATATATATATATATATATATATATATATATATATATATATATATATATATATATATATATATATATATATATATATAAAGCCGTAGACCTTTTCAATTTGATAATAACTCATTCGTATACGATTAATTCGTATTTAAATTATTCATTAAATAAGGTGTTAAATATTTAGACATTCGAAAGAGAAGTATGTCAAAAATTCGACGTGAGCAACCTTGACTGCTTTCTTGAACTGACCAGAATATATAAACAAATTATAGTAATTATTTGTTTTTAAACTGTATAAAATTCTTTACATATTTCAAACAAAACAATGGTTTTATATATATATATATATATATATATATATATATATATATATATATATATATATATATATATATATATATATATATATATATATATATAGATATTTAAGTACGTATTTTCTTATCCTATATGTAATATTATGAGGTTTGCAATCCTCCGGGAGTTAACCAGTTGACAACAGGGGGTTTGCTTAAAATTTAGGAATATTTTGGTCATAGCTTGAAATAATTCAAATAATAATATTTCATGATAAAAACAAATAGTACGGATATTGGCAGTTATTAATGACAGAGTTAAAATAGAAATTTTATTTCAACCAAAATTTTTACAATGATGGACTGAATTTACAACAATCTCCTCCGCTTTGCCAGAACCACAGTCTATTCATAACCAGCCTCTCGAATTACACCTAACATACATATTCTTTTGACTGATATGTAAAACGTCTGGTTGTGAGCTTCATTGAGATTGAAAAAAAAAAAGATTGAGACTGGTGCTCTGTTTACTGGCACGTTTATGGAAAATAGGCGCACTAAAAATAGCGAAGATGCCCAGCTGGTACTTAATAAGTTGTGACGTGTTCTACACAATATTGCATAATAAAAAATCTATTTGGCATTTCAATAGATACATATATCCTTTCTCTCAAAGCAAAATAAAGATAAATTTAAATATCAAAACCTACTTTTAAAAGCATTTATAACTGTTTCTATATTCTTTCCAGACACTTAACCAGAGAAGCCCTTCCACGTCTAGATAATTACAGAAACATAATGTCCATACAGGCAGCGAATAGACCTACCCTGGATGAGCTGTATAACTTCACACTACCCAAAGTAAGCAATACAACATAGTACATGCATTTTCAAAAAAAAAACAATTTTTTTTTACAAATATTCTTATTTTGGCAACTTCATTTGAGAAAGAAATACTAAATATTAATTTTACCTACATTAGCAGTGTTAATTACTAATTAGGTAGAATTATTTTTCCCTACGATTTGACCTAACACCCACAATAATAAACTGACTTGAACCAGTTAATTGGTTTCGTGTTAATTATGACTTAAATTGTCAATTAAACTTTTAGAAAACAACACCTTTATTATACTGCCCACAGACCAGTGAATCATTTATTGCATTCCAAAACCTTAGAGAAATAAGTAGACATAGAACCATATAATATAATAATTTAGTAGTTTAGGCTTTCGCGGCCATCGTTTGAAGCAATTTGGTTTTTCGGGTTATTAGGCCGTCGTCGGTTAGAATTGCTTCCTAAAGCCGGGTTGTCACTGCGCGAAACTGTTTCACGAAAAAATGTTTCGCGTGTGTGTTTCGGACAACGAACATACGTTTCGTGCTCCAAGCGGAAACAAGTGGTGAGCCGCCAGTTTGCGCGAGACAATGATTCTTGGTCCATTTCCGGCGCGAAACACATAATGCACGTTCACACGGAAGACGAAGCTCTTTTGATGCGCGAACGAAAACCGTCTAACGCTAGCTCACTTCGAAACATATTCGCGAAACGAGTTTCGGAGTAATATACACGAAGCGAGGCTAGTTTTGCGAAACAGTTTCGCGCAGTGACAACCCAGCTTAACGTTTCGCTAGCACGAGTGGCTAGCATCCTCAGAGGTGTGTTTGCTCCGACTGCTCACACTAGACATCATCAGTCTAGTGTGAGCAGTCGGAGCAAACACACCTCTGAGGATGCTAGCCACTCGTGCTAGCGAAACGTTAGGGCCATTTCGCACCAACACAGTCCAGTCTAGTCCCGTCAGATTCAGTCTAGTCCAGTAAAATCACTACAGTCCACTGCTTTCACACCAAACGCGTCCGACGTTTGTTGATGACATTTTTTTAACGTGTTTTCAGCAAAAATAAGCAGTTTAACAGAACACTTTGAAAATGGACGAGATTCTTAGAGCACCTAATAATTTCACGTCGATTAGAAAAATGAAGAAGGCGAAGGAGAAATTTATTTTGGATACATCACAGTCATAATAGAAGACTTGTTTTCGGATGTTTTAGTCACTTATTTCCCGATTTATTAGCTGATGCCAAGAAATTGTACATTTTTTTTCGAATGGGAATGCTGGGGGTTATAGGTAAATAAACTGCCTCTTCATTTCCAACCAACCAAAGCAATTAAACTTTCCACATCCATTTGTGTACGAATATCGCAAATGACTGGCATAAAAATTCGACCGAACGAATCACTATCAGTCTTGACCTATCTGGACGAGTGTTTTGTTTGAAAACAACTTTCGTTCCCGCATTTGTTTTTCTCATGACTGTCCTAGATTGGATTCAGCAACGTCCAACGTGACTGATCGTGACTGGATTGGACTGTATTTGTGCGAAATGGCCCTAGGAAGCCCTTAGGAAAAACCAAATTTCTTCAATATAATAATTGTTTGTTCAAAAAAGTCCCATGGTTATTTCGCCACTGCACTATGGTTTCTAGAAGCTACTTTTTTGGCCAAAATTAAACAGCTTACATTTAATGGAAAATATTGACTGTAAATTTGTGTTTTTAATAAAATAATAAAAAACTAATAAAATGAAGTTATTTTTAATCATCTTATTCAACGTGTTATTAACTTTTACCTATGAAGCATCTTCTGTATCTAGTTCCAAAAAAGAAACTTGATCAGTTATCGAATTACTGCTGTACAAAAAAACAATCTTCTTTAGAAATATCTTCTTGGTCTTCTTCTTTTTGCATTTCTTCTTCTTCTTGCTCTTCCTCCTCGTATTCCTCTTATTTTCCATGCTTCTCTTCAAATTGTTCTTCTTTTAACTTCTTTTCGATAAAGTCAGGTACACGAAGTAGGTTGAGTACATCGGCAGGATAACTAAATTTACAAAGCAGCCTGCACAAGTAAAGCCCAATCCTGCTTATGTTCCTCGGAAACTTTTGAGGCCGTTCTTCTCTAAGTTCTGGAAGATTACTCCGAAAAAGGTAATCGTGGCCGGCAGATAATGTGGATGGAAGGGGTTCCTTTAACTCAAGGATAAAATTGTCCTTTAACCAGTCATCACTTTGTTTTAAAAATAAATCTTTAAGCCACGAAGCCGCCTGTCATCTTCTTTAAAAATGTATACAAAGGCGATTTATCTTTTTTCCATTGTGCCTGATAGTTCTTGTTCATTATTCTGAAATTTCTGTCTTACAAAATTTGAAACATACCCGTTTTTCTCAACTTTATCGGCCCCTTGTAGCCATTTTTTAAAAAAAAAAAATTTCAATCGATATATAGCTGAAAAAAAATTCTTTAAAAAAAAAGTTGCAGCTAGTAGCAGCCAATTTTTTCTTTGATATGCTCAGAAAGAATTGTTTCAAATTTTACAATAACATCTAGCATGGAGAAACATGGAGAATTTTTTATAAGTCAAACTAACCTTTTATTTATGTTCTGTCTTAAACTCATTATTTTTAATTAATTAAAAAATAATGGACGCTGATTCTTATGTGCAATTGTTAGTGATTTCTTAAAAATACATACCATAAAGTGTAAAAATAACAGTAATCCGTTTTTAAATTCCACTGAAATATATCACATAATATTCACCAAAACTCTTCCAAAAATAAACAGCAACTGAATAGGCACAAATACCTCTCTAGAACGTCTAAATATAAATGCTGATAAGGAATAAAAATGAAAACTAAACAAAAATATATGCATGTGGTCTTCTTCATTTGTATATCGGCTTGCATTATACTTACAAAAAAAGTCCATATACAGTGAGTCTAAAATATGTATTTTGGCCAAAAAATTAGCTTCTAGAAACCATAGTGCACTGTAAGAAAATCTACAAAATAGAATAGTTATTTTTGTAAACACTGTTGGCGTTAATCCAACGCAACGGAGACTCATTGTCAGCAGTGGTTTACTAATCAACAAACTTGTCTAACGGACAAAAAATGCTTAACGTTTCGGGAAGTACATCCCTTCCTGTCGTCTCGGAAACAAAAAAAAACAAAGGAAAAAGAAAAAAAAATATTTGAAGTGGCAAAACGCGTCTTAACACACAAACGTTGTTTCGAGATAATAAGCAAAAACTGTTTTAGCAAATGTTTGTAGCGTTAATTTACAAAAAACGTGTCCATTGAGTGGAATCATTGTTTTCTATCTTGTTTTTCTAGAAATAAAAATTAATATTTAATTTTTAAACAGAAAAAACAGAAAAATCATTCGGATAAGGCGGGTTTTGTTGCAGTATGATGCATATTGGCTATGAAGAACATTGTCATTTTATATGTAAATTTTTACGGGAAATGTCATCGATCGTCATTTCAGCCAACTGGACGACTTTTTTTTTCGATCATACGGTATTTGCATCCTAACTTGATTTATTAAATATATTATTTTATTGAAATTAAGTAAGGATTTGAAAAGACGTCAGTCATAAATTGAAAGTCATTTGAAAAGACGTCAATGCGGACGGATTTTACTCCAGTAACGTAATTTGTAGTGGATTTTATATAGGAATAGGCGACTATTACTGTAGTTTGAAAATATGCTTATGTAGATTTAAGAGTCCAGAATTAATATGTCATTATGCAATTTTTTTAAAAATGGATAAGGCGGGTTTTGCCCAAGGATACTATATAGAGATAAGGATAGTTCGATTCCTATCTTCCTGCACTGTCAGTTTTTTACGTCGTCTACTGACCGAGTTGAAGTTGGCGCTGAAGATTTTAGACAGTGACAGTTATTTTTGCATTTGACGGACGAGCGCACAGTGCGTTGGAAGATAAATTTAGCGGGACAAAAGCGTTTGGTTAGAAATAAGCCAAAAAATGTGTACTGATAAGAATAAATAGTAGACATTCCAATTGATACAAAAATGCATGAATATTCTTTGTATTTCGATACATTTTCAGAGATATAATTCAATACAGAGATCATACGAAAACAAAATATTTACAAGTGCTTATACATTTTATTAGACAGCCAAATTATGTTGAAGATTGCCAAAGGTATGTACTTTTCTACTGTACGTATATTATTTGTTAAAATCCTTCGTGCCTTTGTTCTGCAGATATCAAACTTTCACTTTTTTTTTCGATATTGAATGATGTAGATCTTTTGAGTTACCAATAGTTACCAACACAGGTAGTCACAGTCACAGGGTGTTCAAGCTTAACAGGTGAATGCCCAAAAAGATTCATTTCAATCGGATAGTATAAAAACAAAACAACTCCATCAAAAGGCACTGAGTTTAAAAAATTTTCTTAGATACTTACTATATATGAATTTACAATTACCGAGTGTTAAAATTAAAATTAAAATATCTATCTTATTTATTGTTTTCAAAATAAAATATATTTTTTTAAAATAAATTATAGAGGGTGTCACAAGATTACAAATTAATTAAAAAAAAAACTGCTAAAGAGATTTTTGATATCATAATTTTATATATTGGCAATAGTTTACAATACGGTTTTTGTGTGTCATGTACGAATAATATCATAGTTTTATTATCTTCTATTTATTTATTAATAAATTAAGTTGTTAATAAATAAATAAATTTAACCATATAGTTGCTATATATTAGACCATTTGCTACGTTCTTAGATTTTAAGTCCCAAGCATTGCTCTTGAGATTTTGCCCCGCTAGAATAACCATCCGCCACACTGTGGAGCGCTGGTCAGCGCGTGACGTAGCATTCCACGGCGACTACGACAGCGGCGATTTGACGCAATCGAACAGTCCTTTAGAATATATACAGTCCTTGGGTTTTGCCAACTTGACGCCTTATTTAAAATATCTAAATGCAACTATTCGAGAAAACTTTAGTTTTTTTAAAAACAGATACGTCTATTAAAAACGTTAACGTTCTGTTTTGGTTTTAAATATCAGTAGTAGAATAAATAATAAATAACATAAAATAAGCTCAGTAAAGACTGACAAATCAACAGAATTTCAAATCAAATTCAAATGTGTCAAATGAATCGTCAAACAGAACTGTCAAGAATCCCCACCCTAGGACCTTTGTCCGTCTACAATGCATGAATACATGGATAGCATTATATACTTCTTCCTTAATCTTTTTATCCAAAGTGACAGATGTATGTAAAGGAACATTTTAAATTTCTTCAAAGTTTCATAGGTCGTTTTTTAAGTCTCTGAATGGTTTAATTAATATTTATGACATATTTTATTCACTATAATAAGTACAACAGGAGAAATCCCAAAAGACTGGCTTAAATCGGTCTTCATCCCTCTGCCTAAAAAGAACAACCCCAAGTCCTGTGATGAGTATCGGCTAATCAGTTTGATGAGTCATACTCTGAAGGTACTCTTGAGGATAATCCAACAGAGAATATATCGAAAATGCGAGGAACAACTGGATGAGACGCAGTTTGGCTTTAGAGAAGGTCTGGGAACTAGAGAGGCTTTATTTGCCATCACAGTAATGCTACAGAAATGTAGAGAATACAATAAAGATGTGTATGTCTGTTTCATTGATTTTCAAAAGGCCTTTGATAAAGTCCAACACGACAAACTTATAGAGAACTTAAAGAGCATCAAATTGGACCCAAGTGATATACAATTAATAAAAAATATCTACTACAATCAAACGGCAGTGGTTCGAGTTGGGGACATCGAGACTGATGAAGTCGAGATTCAAAAGGAGTTCGCCAGGGCTGCGTTCTATCACCACAACTGTTCAATCTATACTCTCAGTTTGTATTTCAAAAAGCACTTTACGAGAGACCTGAGGGAGTAAACATTGGAGGGACATTGATTAACAACCTAAGATTCGCCGATGATACTGCCATAATGGCGGAGAGTGCAGAAGATCTTCAAACCCTGTTGGAAGGAGTCAGTCGAGAGTGTGAAGAAGTGGGACTTGCTATAAACACGCAGAAAACTAAAATGATGGTCATAAGCAAAAACCCAAATATTAACCCTATTCTGACAGTAAATGGGAACCGAATAGAGCAGGTCCAAAAATACAAATATCTCGGCTCTACCATAAATTCTGAAATGGACCCTGATCAGGAAATTAAGATCAGAATTGAAATGGCTCGAAATGCATTTATGAAATATTCCACATTGCTCACAAACAGAAATTTAAACCTTGTTATCAGGTTGAGATTCGTGGAGTGTTATGTGTGGTCGGTGTTAATGTACGGAGTAGAAACTTGGACGCTGAAGACTCAAATGATTAAAAAGCTCGAAGCATTTGAGATGTGGCTCTATAGGCGCATTCTGAAGATACCTTGGACTGATAGAATAAGCAACGACGAAGTGTTGAGACGCATAGGCCGAAAACGAAAACTCTCACAATCATTAAGATAAGAAAAACATCTTACGTGGGACACATATTACGCAGTGACAAATATCTACTGTTACAAAATATTATGCAGGGCAGAATTGAGGGGAGGAAGGGTATTGGCAGAAAGAAAAAATCCTGGCTCCGAAACATTAGAGAGTGGACAAATCTTGGCGTTGGAGAATTGTTCCATGCTGCAAAAGACAGAGAAGAATTTAGAAAAGTGGTCGCCAACCTTCTATGAGAAGACGGCATGGAAAGAAGAAGATAATAAGTACCATTAGCAAGACATTATTTAAGCAGAAAATTGTCCCCTTGAAATACATACTATAAATTTTTGTATTAAAATAGGTAAAATAACAAATTTGGCAACATTGTAGAGTATAAACAAAAACGTGACAGATGTATGTAAAGGAATGTTTTTAAATTCTTCAAAGTTTTATAGATCGTTTTTTAAGTCTTTGAATGGTTTAATTAATATTTATTATATATTTTATTCACTAATAAGTATCATTAGAAAGACATATTTTTAAGTAGAAAAATCCCCATAAATAAATCAATAAAAACTGAATTGGAAGTTTTTTAAACATTAAAATAAACTTTCACATGATATATTTTAATGCTGTTTTAAAATAAATGTGGGAATTTATGACCAAAACAATAAAATATAAAATGATTGTTATTGAACGATAAGTAGCAATAAAATAATAAAAAAATGTGCTAGCAATAACTAGGATTTGTTTCCAGAGTTGTGATAAACTTATAAATGTGTTTTATAAATATAATGCGAATTAATATATGAAATAAAAATTAAAATTCTTTAAATTTTCAATCAATCAAAATCATTGGCATATATGGTAATACGACAGGCTCAATTCCTGTTAGAAACCTTTCAAGAAAAACGAGATCGGTTTTTCGGCCTAACTGGACTCCTCCCCAGACCATAACTGTTCCACCTTGATAAGGGTGCACTTTCTGAACATGATCCAACCGAATAAGATTTCCCGGTTCTCTCCATACCCTAAGCCTTCTCGAATCCGGATGAATTCCAAAGCGTGACTCATCCGTGAAGAGAACATTGGCCCATTGTTCATTCAACCACTGAACATGATCTTGAGCCCACAATTATTGTACCTCTCGATTACCTCTCGTTAAGGGTTGAGCTCTCCAGGGGCGTCTGCTTCTTAAGTTGACCTCTCTTAATCTATTGCGAACAGTGTCAGGACTAACGGTTACATTATGTGTTTCCTGGAGAATTAAACTAAGCTCTGGTGCTGTAAGAGTCGGTCGGCGTCGAGCATTTAATTTTAAAAATTGATCTTGCTGAGGGGTAGTAATGGGAGGTCGCCCTGTGTGCCTTTCAGCAACATCACCACTTTCACGGTAGCGTGCACTTAATCGCGATATTACACTTTGCGTTGTATTTAATGCTCTAGCTACGTCGATTTGGCGCATTCCAGCTTCGAGCATACCCATGGCCCTTAGCATTTCGTCTCTGTTAAGATGTCTACGCTCCATAATGTCGTTTAATACTAAACAGAGTTATTTGAATGAATTCTGGCCAGTTATCATAAAAACATAGCCAGTACAGGTTAAATTCGAACAATTGATGCTAGGTGCTTTTTATACATTTGACAAAAAATGCACAAACACTTCTGCAAATATCCCAAATTTAGAAATAACTAGTGTGACTACTTCGTTTCAATCGAAGTAGAAAGAATCGGCATACAAATATGTGGTTGTTTATTCAAAACATTTATTTTTAACTTTAATAAAATGATATCCCTAGATTTTTCCGGTGTGTGTAGTAAAGTAAAAACAATAATTTTATGAGATGGCCGTGCTAAATGCTACATAGATATATATTGCTAAAATTGCTTATTTTTTGCAGACAGATCAGCAAAGCGTTCAAGCGAATGGCAAACCTGTCAATGTATCTGGCCAATTAAAGTTTGGATGGATACAGGGTGTTCTAGTAAGATGTCTGTTGAATATATGGGGCGTTATGCTTTTTCTCAGGCTGTCGTGGGTTGTAGGACAAGCAGGACTCGGTAAGTAAAGTTTTTTTTTGAAAATGTATGAATAACGCTACCTATACGAGTATTTTGTTTTTATCTCTTGTACCTAATTAATGTTTAGTCTTCGTAACATAGATTCGCAAATTTTAGTTCCAAACCTCCAAGGTATTTATAGTTTAAATTTAAATAGTTTTAGTATACAAAATCAATGTTGAGTAGATAATTATTTTGTTTGTAGGACAATCTATTCTACTTATTCTCACTACAACAATTGTAACATCAATAACAGCATTGTCAATGTCAGCAATCAGTACAAATGGTGTTATAAAAGGGGGTAAGTTATAATAATTACTCAAAAAATATTTTCAATTTGTGTGTAGTACCCTAATAGGACATTCTATTTAATTAAATGCCACTTTCGGTTACCTATTACTTTTAAACATCCACCCTGTACATTTTATTTGATGTAATAAATCGAGATCCATTTTATTTTACAACGGTGTATAAGTTGTAAAGTTGACTTTCTGTTGAGAATGTCATTTTCTATCAAATAAAGTAAAAAAAATACCCAGCGCACTATGGTTTCTAGAAGCTACTTTTTTGGCCAAAATTAAACAACTTGTGTTTAATGGAAAATAAAACTGTAAATTTTTGTTTTTAATAAAATAATAAAAGACTAATAAAATGAAGTTATTTTAATCTTCTCATTCAACGTGTGATTAACTTTTACCTATGAAGCATCTTCTGTATCTAGTTCCAATAAAAAAAGTTGATGAATCATCGAATTACTGCTGTCCAAAAAACAATCTTTTTTTTTTTTTTTTAAATCTTCTTTAGAAATATCTCCTTGCCCTTCTTCTTTTTACATTTCTTCTTCTTCTTGCTCTTCCTCCTCGTATTCCTCTTCTTTTCCATGCTTCTCTTCAAATTGTTCTTCACTTAACTTCTTTTAGATAAAGTCAGGTACACGAAGTAGGTTAAGTACATCGGCAGGTTAACTAAATTTACAAAGCAGCCTGCCCAAGTAAAGTATTTTGCAGCCTGCACAAGTAAAGCCCAATCCTGCTTATGTTCCTCGGAAACTTTTGAGGCCGTTCTTCTCTGGGTTCTGGGATATTGCTCCGAAAAAGGTAATCGTGGGCGGCCGGCAGATGATGTGGATGGAAGGGGTTTATTTAACTCAAAGATAAAATCCTCTTTTAACCAGTCTTCATTTAGTTTTAAAAATAAATTTTTAAACCGCGAAACCGCCTGCCATCTTCTTTCAAAATGTATACAAAGGCGAGATTTATCTTTTTTCCATTGTGCCTGATAGTTCTTGTTCATTATTCTGAAATTTCTGTCTTACAAAATTTGAAACATACCCGTTTTTCTCAACTTTATCGGCCCCTTGTAGCCATTTTTCCAAAAGATCTATTTTTTTCAATCGATACATAGCTGAAAAAAGAATTCTTTAAAAAAAAGGTTGCAGATAGTAGCAGCCAATTTTTTCTTTGATATATTCAGAAAAAAAAAATTTTTGTTTCAAATTTTACAATAACATCTAGCACGGAGAAACGTGGATAATTTTTTATAAGTCAAACTAAACTTTTAACTTTTTATTTATGTTCTGTCTGAACTCATTATTTTTAATTAATTAAAAAATAATGGACGCTGGTTCTTACGTGCAATTGTTAGTGATTTCTTAAAAATACATACCATAAAGTATAAAAATAACAGTAATCCGTTTTTATATCCCACTGAAATATATCACTTAATATTCACCAAAACTCTTCCGAAAATAAACAACTGAATAGGCACAAATACTTCACTAGAACGTCTAAATATAAATGATGATAAGGAAAAAAATGAAAACTAAACAAAAATATATGCATGTAGTCTTCTTCATTTGTATATCTAATAATATAATGCAAGCAATTCCACTTACAAAAAAAGTCCGTATACAGTGAGTCTAAAATATATATTTTGGCCAAAAAATTAGCTTCTAGAAATCATAGTGCAGTGCACAGATTAACCCAGATTTGTCAGTAAGACGGAGAAACATAATTAAAACAAGGATGCATTCGGTCCCTTTAAATATCCTATTTATAGAAACTGAATGTAAAGTGCATGCGTATATGATCAATCGCTACAAAAAAAAACTGTACCATAGATTAATTATTATTTCAATTGGGAATATATTTTTTACAAAAGGCAACAATGCATTCGAGAATGAAACGAAGTCTGACTGATTAAAGGTCCGAGGTCACGGCGGCTTTTATCAGCAAGATGAAATGATGTACTGTAAATGATTATCAGCAAGATGATGTGCCACATCTGAATAGATAATCTGTGCTCAGGGTCATTTCCGATGAAATAGGAAGTGGCCGAAACTAACTGAATACATCAATCAATCCTGATTTATGTCATATACTAACATACCAAATCTCGTTTTTTTTTATCTGAAAAAATAAAAAAGTTATATGGGTGAGCCCCCTCATATAGATATTTTTTGACAAATCAGTAGTCAAGTGATACATACGTCAGTGATACATGATTTAAGTCAAGTGATACATACGAATTGGAATATTTGTTGGAATAAATTCTATAATATTAAATTCTATTTTATAGGTGGGACGTATTATATGATATCACGAAGTTTAGGTCCAGAATTCGGCGGATCCATAGGGTTTATATTCGCGTTGGCCAACGCAGTGGCGTGCGCCATGTATGTAGTTGGGTTCTGCGAGTCCGTCCAAGACCTCTTGTCCAGTTTTGGACTATCCATAGTGGATAGTTCAGTGAACGATATCAGGATTGTTGGCTGTATTACTATTGTCGTTTTAACTGTGATAGTCATCGTTGGAATGGAGTGGGAAGCTAAGGTGAGAAGTTAAATGGTGCTTATATGTCTATTCAAATAGAGTCACAAAAAAATAAAATGAAAATTTTTTTTTTCAAAAATCTGAATTACAAAATTAAATTATGAAAGTGTGAATTAATTAATAATTTTAGGCGCAGTTGGTTTTACTTGTGATCTTACTGGTGGCAATAGCAGATTTTCTGATTGGTTGCATTGTTGGACCACGGAGTGACGAATCCCGAGCCAAAGGCTTTGTTGGATTTAATGGTAATTTATTGGATTTGTATTTTATATGTATATTTTTAATGTTATGTATTAACGTTATATTTTCTTAAGATTTTTTTAAGAATTTTAAAATAATAGTGCTGCAGTGTTGCCAGATCTAGTGATACTGACGTTCTTCATATTTGTATGATTATATTATGTTTACAGAAATTTTAATTTTCGACAAAATAACAAATTACGAAAATAATTTCATTTGTGTAGGGTGTCCCAGGCTGAGCGTGCATTAGAAGTTTCTAGAGAACTACAATATCTAGATCGGAGATTTTGTGCACATCATTGTTTTACAATGAGATCTATCGACTAAAAATATTTTCAATATGGCGGCACTTCCGGAAATACCGGAAGTTGACAGCAACTTTGTTATTTTAAATGGGTGCCCCCATTTTTTATTACATACTTAAATTCTCTGTAAAATTCCATAAATATTAATGTTAAACACTCTATATCTAACATTAACCGTTTTTGAGAAAAAAATTATTTAAAATTTTTGGACGAAAAAAACTACCTGTCAAAAAAATTTGTATAGCCTAAAAGTCAAATTTAGTGATTACCACAGCCACTGTGACGTAAAGAGAAGACATGTGCCTATCTATTTCGAAAATTAAATTGTGCAAATGTCATATAATAATGGCGGTAGCTGTCATGGAATTGAGTGATGAACAAATTATCATAAATAATTTTTTTCAAATGGAAAGCCACTTTTTTTATTTCACTAATGAAATGGTTTTTCAATTCGTTACTTTTTATACATGTTCCTATACCTAAAATAAATCGTTTTTAAGTTATTTAAGATTGAGTTTGAAAACTTGTATTTTTCTTGATTTTATCTAGCTTCCTTTGACATTAAGTGTCAAACGGTCATGCAATTTATTTCCATCTGTCAGAAAACGAATTACTTGAATTTTCTATAGTATAAATACTGCCTGCCCCCCCCCCCTTAAGAATTTAAAAAGTGTATTTATAAAAATATATCTCGTATTTTCGCTCTTTACTGATAGGTATCTAATAGTTGATACTATTAATAATATTCCCTATGATCGAAAAAAAAACAGCGCAAAGTTGGCTCGAAAATGATGCTGCTTTTTGAACAAAGCGTCACAACATGACATGGCCAGATTTATTGTTTTACATCACTTGACGTTTAAAGTCATAGGCTACTGGTTAAAATCAAGAAAAATATACGCTTTTAAACTAAATCTTAAATAACTCAAAAACGATTTATTTTAGGTATAGGAATATGTATAGTTAAAAAGTAAAGAATTGAAAAGCCTTTTCACTAGTGCAATAAAAAAAAATAGGTTTCCATTTGAAAAAAATAATTTATGATAATTTTTTAATCGCTCAATTCTATGACAGCTGCTGCCATTATTATATGACATTCGAACAATTTAATTTTTGAAATAGATAGCCACATGTTTCTCTTTATTGCACAGTGGCTGTGGTAATCACTAAATTTGACGTTAAGGCTATACACATATTTTTGACAGGCAGTTTTTTTCGTTCAAAAATTTTAAATATTTTTTTTTCTCAAAAACGGTTAATGTGAGATATAGAGTGTTAATATCAAAATTTATAAAATTTTACAGAGAATTTAAGTACAAAATAAAAAATGGGGGCACCCATTTAAAATAAGAAAGTTGCTATCAACTTCTGGTATTTCCAGAAGTGCCGCCCGCCACATTGAAAATATTTTTAATCAATAGATCTCGTTGTGAAACTATGATGTGCAAAAAATCTCCGAGCTAGATGTTGTAGTTCTCTAGAAACTTCTAATGCACGCTCAGCCTGGGACACCCTGTATATGTCTCACTTTAATATAGCGATTTTGCAAGCGACTCTTAACCAATTTTATTTCTATATATTTAAGGCGTTCGTATATTTACGTTGTTTATTTGACTACACCATACTTTCAGCTACGTTTGTACAGAACACATTCTTTTTCTTTCTTTAAGGCAAAAATAATGTAGCGTTAGAAGACCAAAGAACAATTTTGTCCTGTTTCAGCTAGTGTGGCCTGGGAAAACATGTTCCCAGATTACAGAACTTCAGAAGGGGTGACCTACGATTTTTTTAAAGTGTTCGCAGTGTTCTTTCCCGCCGCCACTGGAATATTGGCAGGGGCCAACATTTCTGGCGATCTCAAAGTAAGTTAATCAGAAGGTAAAAATAACTAGAAAATAATAAAAGTGTTTTACCCGTTAGAAAATATTTTTTAACATGTTAAATAAAATAAATAAAAAAAATATGATAGATTTCAATAATCTTCTGTATGATTTTATTCCAGGATCCACAAAAAGCTATTCCAAAAGGTACTTTATTAGCCATTCTTATCACTACGATGTCTTACATTTTGATGGCTGTTTTTGCTGGTTGTACTGTAATGAGAGATGCCAGTGGCAAAGTCGATGACTATTTGAATGGTACCCTTTCAGATTGTGCACCAAATTGTACCTACGGTTTGCAAAATAACTTTCAGGTAAATATGCTTTTTTATAAATATTAATCAATAACAATATTCTTTTCTTTTGTTTTTTAGGTTATTCAATTAACAGCTATAGAGGGTTCTCTTATATACGCAGGATGTTTTGCTGCTACCTTATCATCTGCACTGGCTTCTCTAGTTTCTGCACCCAAAGTTTTTCAAGCCCTCTGTAAAGATAAGCTCTATCCAAAAATAGAGTGGTTTGGTAAGGGATTTGGACCGAACAATGAACCCGTCAGAGGATATGTTCTCACATTTGTCATATCTGTGGCTTTTATACTTATAGGTAATAATTTAATACAGCAAACTCTCGGATAATAAGTTATATTAAAAAAAGTCTTGCTGATACCCTTTTACTATACATGTATTAGATTTTGTACACGATTTTTAGGAATACCCAAATAAAATTTTAATTTTTCTGTTTGGGTGGTAAAATGCCCAACTTTTTCAGTATTGGGGGAATATCTTTATCACTTTTTTTGAATTTTTGTTTTGTTTTAGGTGAATTGAATCTCATAGCTCCACTTATTTCAAATTTCTTTTTGGCTGCGTACACACTAATCAATTTTTCGACGTTTCACGCATCTTTGGCTAAACCAGTCGGTTGGAGGCCCACCTTTAAGGTAACTATTTATTTTTAGTTGCATATTTAATATGTACAGGGCTCATCAAGACAAAAATTAAACTTAGGAGAGGTCTATACAACCATCACATTTTGATGAAACATCGATGAAACATATTTTAAACTATTTCTAGTACTACAACATGTGGCTCAGTCTAGTTGGAGCAATACTTTGCGTACTAGTAATGTTCCTGATCTCATGGTGGACCGCTTTAATAACACTCACAGCTGTATTAGCCTTGTACCTCGTAGTATCTTACCGGAAACCGAGTGAGTAAACACAAATAGAAATATACAATTAATAAAAACAAAATTAGTTTGTTTATTCTTTTTCATAATTTCGTTTACAACAACATTAGAGCACAGAATATCTAGCTACGCAACAGAAAAATACTCGAAATGAAAGAGCTAAAATTGCACAAATAGAATACTAGATGGCGCGACAATATCATAATCAGAATATAATTAGAAATTTTGAACTTTCGGTTTTGGATCGACGGCTCGTCGACGGCCTTGTAGCTCGGCTAAATATGCACAGTTGCCAGATTCAAAAAGACTTGAATTGGCATCCCATTCTTTTTATTGTGTATAGTGCAGTATGTGTTTATTTCTATTCTTCTTTTTTTTATCAGATACACTTATATTAATTATTCTATTGGCTAATAAAATAATTTTAAGTATATTATTACAAAACATATACATTTTTAATATACACTACCTTATAATGTTAACTAAGAAAATACCTTTAATTACCTTTAAAATTAATAATATACAGGGCGATTGATAGTGATATTTATTAATGCTGGAACGTTAGTAATGAAATATAAGTTTAATAATAATGGAAATAATTTATTAAAATGCAGTACAAAAAATGTTAACTGACTAAAAAATACTATAATAACAAATTTCTTCCGTTTGTCACGTTATTCATATAGACCTAGGTAGATTTTAAAAAGTGACACAGGTACAATTAATAATTTATTAGTTCGGCATAAAAGTTGCTGTCACGACATGACGACATCGAACAATAAATTAAAATTCCTAAAATAAATTAAAATTATTAATTAAACAAATCTTTATAAAGAAACGCAAGTATATCAAATTTGGGCCCAATCGAACTCCAGGAAATGATATCATAATAGTGTACTATATTATGGTACCACTCGATATGCTTTAAGGTACCATAATATTGCAATGTCATCGAAGATCTGTAGTATACCAAATTTAAGAACAATCGAACGCCATGAAATGGTATCGTAATATGGTACTATATTAAGGTACCACTTTATATACATCATAGTACAATCATATTACAATGTAACCGAAGATACGTAGTATACCAAGTTTGAGCCCAATCGAATGCCAGGAAATGGTATCGTAATATGAACGATTATACGATATGAACTTGGTATGAACACAATCGAACGTCAGGAAGTGGTCTCTTAATAGTAGAACAATACTTATTATATTGTCGCCGAATTACAATGAAAATTCAGGATTCAATTATACAATCAAACGTCAGGAAGTGATTGTAATTTAGCTCATAAGATTTAATTCCAACTATCATGGCAAACTGAAAAAATCAGCTCTGATCTATTTTAATATGTTTAAATGATGTAGCAAATTTGAAGGTAGGCTTTATCAGGAAGTATTACGATATAAATTACACAATGGCAACACTGCACAAAATTCTTTTAAATTTTGTTTGTAGAAAACTGTTTTCTTTTAAATTTATTGCCCTCTATTATGTAGTAGCGAAACTACCACATCAAAATATCTGATTTGGAGACAGGCTTTAAAAGCCTGTCTCCTTTTGCTACCTACAATTTTATACATGTAACGAGGCTTCTGTTGCGTAGCTAGATATTCTGTGATTAGAGGCATTAAAAACACATAAACAATCACAGTCACAGGTATATCTGTGAATATAATTTCACGTTTTAGTCCAAGTATAACATTTAATCGAAGTCTATAACTCTATACTGAGACAACTAGTATTGGTGTCTTTATTTTATCCTCATATTTTCTTGGTTACGTAGATGTTAACTGGGGTTCAACAACTCAAGCCCAGATCTACAAGAACGCCCTTCAAGCCACTCAACAGTTGAATACCGTCGAGGAACATGTGAAGAACTACAGACCTCAGATTCTGGTACTGTCAGGAATGCCCAGTGCCAGGCCAGCATTAGTCGATTTTGCTTATCTACTCACAAAAAAAGTGTCTATGTTGGTTTGTGGACATATTAACACGGTAAGCGGTAAGACACTTTATGTTTTTTATTTATTTACATTAATCTCAAATTAAGTACTATATGAAGGGCCCAGGGGAAAAACATGATAAGCGCCAATTTCTTAATTTTAGGGTTTTACAATATTAGAGTAGGTCTAACTGGACCCTTCAAAATATACCGTGCTGGCAACTGTTACTTTTGGGTCGGTATTTACATGTGTGGAAGTAAATCGCATAGGGATCTTATTAAGTCGGAATGAGAGAAATGCGACGGTGTGCTGTTGCGTTGTTGCTGGTACGCCTTTCCCTATCAAGTATAGTAAAATTACGACCGCAAACCGCTTATTTTTAAGACTTTTTTTCGAAAAGGTAACTAGATAAAATCATTAGATGTTTCTGAGCATCTGAAATGGAATTATCAGGATATCATTAAGGTGTCCATTTTTTTTTATAACGAGAAAGCGTCAGTAATCGCGATAATTTAAAAAAAAACTAAACTTTTTTACACATAACACTCCATAACTTAAGAACCATTTTAGATATTGAAGCTTATTTTATTTTGAAGATCGGATCATTTACAATATGTTTACATAAGAAATATTCGATAAGGTTGTTTTTTTTTCATTCATTTACTTTTAGTGCATAGCAGTTTTCAGCAATCGTGTAACTTTTTTATTTATAAAGATTTTTACATACTGTCTGCGAAAAAAGTATTTGAAAAACTACAATCAATTATTTCTAATAGATTTCGAAATATCGATTTTTGAATTCTAATAACGCGACCACTGTCGAAGACCAACTCAATTCCACTTATTTTTACCAAAAATCCAACTGTTTCTAACTTGCACTTAAAATTTTCAAGCTATAGGGAAACTTACAACGACTCGTTAATAAATAAACAAATAAAGTATCACGAGACGTAATTATACATATTGTGAAGCTGAACGCATGATGTACACCTTTCCCTAGAACTTTAAGTACTGACAAAGGTACTGATTAGGTCAACCGGTCGACTGCGACAAACCTGCTGTATCCCCTTCCACGTCTCATAACAATGTGCACAATTTCTTGGTTTATTTCATACGTTTGGCAACGTGTTCACTGTTCCCTCTTTGTTCAGTACATTATAATCGCATTGTACTCTTCTTACATACGGAAATCTCGACCCAAGAGTAACCTTTGCCAGCCCTTAGTATGCCTAATAAAAATATACATGCAGGGAAAGAACCTGATAACCACTAGCCATCCAGGGAAATAACTTGAGAAGTTCATTTAATTGCGTCACTTTTTTCAAGTTGAGTTAATTAATGCGATACCGCGTGGTTGTAAAAAATCGTGAGTTGTTATAGGCGTGCTTTGTGCAGCTATTATAGAGTTGATTTTTATCGTTATGTCAAGCAGTGAACTTTCTGGAGAGTCTAGCCAAGTTCATATACCTGTGTGTTAATATATCTGTAAGTTTACGAAAGTACCCTTGAAGATCTGCACTGCCTCGTATTTTGGAAACATTGTTTTAGTTTGATAGGGGTTCACGTTTTCATTATTTTTTTTCTGATTTTCAAAGTTTAGTGTTTATTTCATTTTCTGTTACTGTAATTAGTAAACCTACAAAACATAATTATTACAGGTATAGTAGTTGTCACATTATTACATTCCAAACGTTTTTTGGCTCCCCTGTAAAATTAACAAAATGACGCTTACCTCTCATGTACAATAATACCTTTATTTTGAACACATAATACATTATGCCATTCTGACTTTACTACTACTTGGATAAAATAAAATCGTTGATTGAAAGAATTGGGAAGATGCGCAACCTAATGGGCGAATTCGTGACAAGGCTGATTTGATTTCCTCTTACGTTTCAAGTGCTGTACGGTGGAGACACCAATCGTACTGCGGCCAACGCATAAAACACGTATATACTTCCTCTAATTCGGCCAGCGAAGGTATATCGAAGACGGTGTAGAACTGAAAGCGACAGTGTTGCCATACTAAAATGTGTAATATCTGTAATATGTTTGACCACAATATTTTTCGATAAAAAATCCGCGTTTATGTATTGAAAATTTATTCGTGTCATACATAGAATAAAAAAAATAAAAATTCTTTTTTAGGTACTGAATATGTCGTATGATCGAAAAACGTCGTTTAGTTGGCTTAAATGACGATTATTTACCATAATATTATTATGGTAACGATCTTCATTTCCAAGCCAACTCTGACGCCGTTCTTGTTTAATCATATAATATTATATTAAATTGTTTAATGATAAAAAATCCGTATTATTAACGTGCTGTACCCAAAATCCGTAAATCTACGGATTAATCAGTAGTTCCGGCAACACTGTCTCCGGAAACCAGTCATTCTGTCGACTGAAAGCAGAACTACCGTACAGTATTCTTTATTCGCTGCGCTGTAAACGACTAATAGCGCGCAGCGGCGCTAAACCAGCTAAACTAAATCTCAGGCAGGCTGGCGGTAACGCATAGCGGTAACCATAATATATACCATCTCGGACAGGTTTTGTGCCACGAAATCGCCTATAAAGTTACGCATATTCTTATTTCTTCAATCAGTGATAAAATCTACAGCTGGTTTGAAGCGTTTTTATATCCTTTTTATTCGAGTAAAATATTTTTTGTTATAATTTTAGAGTCCTCTATCGCAAAGAGTAAGGAACGTTCTAAGTTACAAGGCCAACAGTTGGCTGAAGGCTCACAAATTGAAGGCATTCTACCAACAAGTCGACGGAGTTTCTTTTCAAGAGGGTGCCAGAGCTTTACTCAAAGTATGCGGAATAGGAAAATTGCGACCCAACATTTTACTCATGGGCTACAAAGGCGATTGGCAGACTTGTCCCACAGATGAACTATTAAATTACTTTGAAATTTTACAGTAAGTTTGATGGAATGTATTAATTTGTTCGGTTCATTTTTTGTGGCAAATAGAAAACCCTATTTGAAGAAGAAACATTTTGTTTGGTGGTAGAAAAGACATTTGTTAAAGTTCTGCTACAAAAAATTAAACTAAATCAAATTGTATAAACGAAATCGAATTATAAATTTTGCAGCAACGCGTTTGACTTGCATTTGGGAGTAGGAATCCTTAGATTACAGCCAGGACTTGACGTTAACGAAAGTTTTAATGAAACAGAACAAAAAGAAAAAAATAGTCCAGATTATCTACGTAGAAACCAGTCATATAGTCAGATATCAGAAGGTAAGTAAATATATAAAACGCTCATTTTTTAATTCTATATCTGAAAGAAAAAGAATATATAGAACGTTCCATTTAAAAAACCAAGAAAAATGACTTTATATTTTGACATTTTTTATCGCTCAGTGTTGACCAACCAAACCAAAGTGTTTTTTAACACTCAACAATACAGTTATTACAGTCGAACATACCGGGTGCACCTCAAAACTAGCTCACCTCTATAATTTTTTTTTCAGATAAAATGTCGAGATTTGGTATGTTTAAAAATAAAACACTGAATCACCACACCAAAACATTTTTACTTTTACACTGGTCGCGCCTTACGCTAACCATGTTAGCATCATCAGCAGATGATTATAAACTAAAATACAATCTACAATTGGAGCGTTTATATACTCGCTCAGTGGGCACCGAGTGGGCGTGGCAAGATCTAGCCAACCGAGTCAGAGCCCACCGAGCGTAACAGTGATTTCCGCCACTAGAGTAGTAGGAACAAAGAACTTGAAGGAATTGGACCGTTGTCTCTGTTAATACTATCTCTACATTTATCAATTCTAATGCTCTCATATGCATCCAATTTTATTTTAATGTGTAACACCAAAGGTTCCAACCCTCAACTGTTAATGGGTCACCCTTGTTCAATTTGAAAAAAATGAGATATGATTAAAAATACCATTTGGGCATCTTGTAACCGGCCAGGACAAGACACGACACAATCAAATCTATTTCCAATTCCAAGGATCCTTGATTAAAAATTAGTATTTTTAACACATCGATTTTTAATACGATTTTTTTTAAAGCAAAAAAAGAAAATGTCAATAGTTGACATATGTCATTTTATTGAGAGTGTCATTTTCTATCGAATAAGGTAAAAATATACCGAGGGTGCCATTTAAAAATCAAAAGTTTTAGTCATTTCCGTTGAAACAGGAAGTGACCAAAACCAATTGAACACGTCAATCAATCCCAATTTATGTCATATACTGGCACACCAAATCTCGTTCTTTTATCTGAAAAAATAAAAAACATTGTTAATCACTCAGTATATAACATTGAAAAAGTTCCATACGACGTTTTTTAGACTTTCACTTTTTTATAAAGTACTAGATGTAGGTATATTAAACATTATTGTTTGTAGCTAGTTGTTCTACCGATCATTCGCTAACCCAAATTGAAAAAGACGAAAAAATCAGCGTGGTGCCTGACGAATCGCTGGCAAGGAAAACAAAATCTGTGACTGAGTCTGCCCCTGATTTTGCTTCTGATAGTCAAGCACACCAAGATCCTAATACTTCAGAACAATTGTTCTTTCAGAAGAAACACGGAAGAGGTGGTACGATAGATGTGTGGTGGTTGTATGATGATGGAGGTAAGTACTCTCGATTAAGTAAGCTTTAATAACTGAATGATATTTTATTTTTTTAATTTACAATAATATGTAAGCGCTGATTGAAAGAATTGGGAAGATACGCAACCTAATGGGCGAATTCGTGACAAGGTTGATTTGATTTCCCCTTACGTCTCAAGTGCTGTACAGTGGAGACACCAATCGTTCTGCAGTCAACGCATAAAACACTTATTTTCTCTAACTCGGCCAGCGAAGGCATATCGAAGACGGTGTGGATCTGAAAGCGACAGTGTTGCCATATTAAAATGTGTAAGATCTGTAATATGTTTGACGAAAATATTTTTGGATTCGCGTTTATGTATTGAAAATTTATTCGTGTTGAACATAGAATAAACAACAAAAATAAAAATTCTTTTATAGATATTGAATATGTCGTATGATTGAATTGAATATGAAAAGCCGTTTAGTTGGCTTGAAAATGACGATTACTGACATTTACCATAATATTTTACATATGAAATAACAGCGATCTTCATTTCCAAGCCAACTCTGAAATTGTTTAATGATAGCAAATCCGTATTATTAACGTACTGTACCCAAAATCCGTAAATCTACGGATTAATCAGTAGTTCTGACAACACTGTCTCCAGCAACCACTCACTCTGTCAACTAAAAACAGAAGACTGAAAGCAGAACTACCGTACAGTATTCTTCATCCGCTGCACTGTAAACGACTATTAACGCGCAGCGGTGCAGAGTTAAACTAAATCTCGGAATTCTCGGACAGGCTGACGGTAATGCCAGCTACATCTCGGACAGGTTGTGTTCCACGAAATCGCCCATAAGGTTGCGGATTTTCTTATTTCTTGAATCGACGATGTAATGTTAATTTTATTGACTTTTCAAAATTTTGAAAGTGTCACAATGCCGCTTTACAGATCGCAATTTTACTTGCATGTAAGAAAAGTTGCAGCAATTTTACTCGCCGCATTTAAGTTACAGTCAGCAATTTTTATTGGAATATTCATTTTCTGGTATTTGGCTTATTTTTGGTTGCCTGTATCTGGTATTTATTGTTATTTCGTTTATTAATGACAACGAATTAACGTCAATTATTACATTCAACTAAAAATATAAATATGGGGTTCTTAATTGGCAATCTCAAGATAACTAGAAAAATAACCAACAGCTGCACGCAAGTCGAAAAATTATAGGTCTATCATCTGCAAGTGCAAGAAAAGTTGCAGCAACTTATCAGATATGCTAGAATGCGCACGCACGCTAGAATGTGCACGCACGTAGGAAAAATTCGCTGCGACTTAATAATTCAAATCCACAGGTCTTACGCTTTTGCTACCCTACATCATGGGCACCAGAAGGAACTGGAGCTCGTGTAAACTGCGAGTGTTCGCACTGGCCAACAACAGGGAAGGCCTGGAGATGGAACACATGAACATGGCGAGCCTTTTGGCCAAGTTCAGGATCGAGTATTCGGATTTGCAAATTGTCCCTGACGTCACCACCAAACCCAGCGAGTCCACGCAAGCGTTCTTCGAGTTCCTCATCGCCAGGTTCAGGCAGAACGTCGATAGAGAAGATCAAGATGAGAAAGGTTAGCACAGTCAAAATTTACTGAATGTATACAGGTTGTATCTTAAATAAGTGCAAGTATTTTAAGGGATGGTAGTTCGATCTGGACAAAAGAAACATATTTTATTTTCCGTTTTGAAAATAAAATTAAAATATCAGAGCTATTTAACATTCAAATTTAAAAAATATATGCTTACACTGTGAGTACCGCTGGTGTTGGCCTCAACCAGCTCCAATTGGACGTCCTGTGTTCTCACACGGACAAGAATGTATACCATCCTGGCAAGCGAAACCTCAGGTCGGCGTTTACATGTATAGGAGTGAATCGCTATGGCAATCTACTAAGTCGGAGAGAGCAAAAAAAGTGCACTTAATCTGACGCTAGATTCCATGCGCTTGGGAAGATACTTGCCTTCTGTCTTTTTTCAGTACATCTTATTTTATTAAGCGTGTTGACCGTACTCTTCGTACACACGAATATCGGCACACAAAACCAGAAATCCCTACCCTAGTATACCTAACTTGATTGAAAATTCTTTGTAATATGGTAATAACAGAATCTGAAATAATCGTTAAGATTTATTTTTTCAGTTTAAAAGAAACTTAATCATAAAAACTAATGTCATTAAAATCTACTTATTTTGGTTCTATAAAAATCTTTTAATGAACATGACTATATCTCGGCTAAAGAGATAAAGAATACAATGTTAAAAGTTAAAATATCTGAATTTATTTAAAAGAGACCCTGTATATTCTCTAAACAATAGTAATAAAAAAAACTTTTACTACCAGATAAAACTTAAATTTCGGTATTTTCTAGCTGTTATCACCGACGCAGAACTAATGGCTCTAAAGGATAAAACCAATAGACACATGAGACTTAGGGAACTCTTACTGAAACATTCTCATGATGCAGAAATGGTAGTCGTTACTCTACCAATTCCAAGGAAGAGCATAATTTCAGCACCACTATATTTAGCGTGGCTGGAACTGTTAACAAAGGATATGCCGCCCATTTTGCTTGTGAGGGGCAACCAGACATCAGTATTAACTTTTTACTCTTAACCACAATACACATACAATCTTTACTTCAAAAAGAATGCTTAAAATTAGCCATAAGTCTGTCCAACAAGTTAGGAAATATTTCGACACACGATATAAAAAAAATGACAGAAAATACAATTTGCTTGTGAATTAAAATGATAGACACAACTGTCAGGAATCCTTCCGTTGGGCAGACTATATATGAAATCACTTCATTACAGATGTGTAGTTTATTTTAACGAAGAAGTAATAGACGACTTAGGTACTTTGGAATTTCTAGTGTTACTTCGAATTAGCATTTTAGTTAATTTCTGCTATACAAACAAAACCGTTGACTGACAAGTTTAATGGCAATTAGTAATTATAATAAGAAATATTAAGAATTGTAGCTGTGCTACAATTACATGTTTTATTTTGTTGTAGAACTACCTAACTGTAATTTCGACAATTAGAGTTACTTTAAAATAACTACTCTTGTGGTTTAATACCACATCTTGATAAAAATGATAAAAAAATATTTTTATCAAGATGTGATATTAAACCGCAACAGTAGTTATTTTAAAGTAACTCTAATTGTCTAAATTACAGTTAGGTAGTTCTACAACAAAATAAAACATGTAATTGTAGCACAGCTACAATTCTTAATATTTCTTATTATATTTACTAATTGCCATTAAACTTGTCAGTCAACGGTTAGGGTGTAGTAAAGATACCATAATAATGATATCATACCATACGACATACATATAAAGATACCATAATAATGGTATCTTTACATTTTGCCTTATTTTAGTGGAAAACAGCATGTTGGTTATAAACAATTTTCTCATATTTTTTCATTTTTCCTGATAATTTCGTAGTTTTGTCTTGTTAAAGTTCTTCAAGATTTCATAGTGATTAAACATGTCGTCTTCCTTTGAAAAATATGGGGAAATATAAAAGTTGTATATGTGTAAATTTAAATTAGATGAATTTAATCCTATCTAGGTTTATTTATTTCCTTTTATTTTCCATAGCAATAATGAGAGGCAAGGGTCACTAAACTCTGTTCAACGAATCAGGGAAGATTTCGGCACACGTCATTCAAAAATTGACAGAAAATGCAATTTACCTGTAAATTAATATGACTGGCAACATGACTGGCAACTGTCGCTGTCAGATACCCTCTCGTTGGACAGACTATAATAGGTCTTTTGCATTACATTGTTCATAAGCAGTGTAATTGACTTAACGTCAGCAAATGTGTTAAAGCGGGCACCCTCGCAATAATATTAAGTTAATGTTATTTCGTATGTTGCCGGTTAGAGCATGTCTTTTATACAGGGTGGCCCATTAGTGTGAGGAAGTCCAATATCATCATTACGAGTATTGTCGAAGATATGAAAAAAAGTTTTATATCCTAAAAATGTTTTGCTGTATACAGGGTGTCGCAAAAAAAGTTACGATAAAGTTTTAAGTTATATATTAACGGTTTCGCAGATATTTGCGGTATTATGTTACATACGGCTGTTCCAACAGTAATTTTTTATCAAAGCAACCCAATATGATCTTTGTCTGGTATTTTACCATTGAAAACGCCATATGTATTATAATACAGCAAATAACTGCTAAACCGCTAAAAATTTAAGAAAACTTTAAATACAAAAAATAATCATTATTTAAGTCTGCATCTAAGCGATATATTTATAACATACAGGATGTTGCATTTAAAAAAATTGAGATATAGCATTTTAAATATTCCGATTTTGGTGACGCCATAAGAAATACCCTTTTCGGATAATCAGAATTTTTCTATGCGGATTTATTCTGTTATCGTTGGTGTTTAGGAACAGACAGCTAAGTATCAATAAAGAATAAAGTTATATTCAATCGGATATAGTGTTTTTAAAAACCCTAAACCTAAACCAAACCAAAGTTTTAGTAAATAAGAAATAAAATTGCAACACCGCATAGGGCTTCAAATAAAAATAGTGTAGTTTATGCAGAATTTTATACTGAATCCAATTCTGTACAGAAAAATGGGGAGTGTAATTTAAAAAAAACTTAAAACCTTATCATAACTTTTCTTGTGACACCCTATATATCACACAATATTTTTAGGATATGCACTATTATAAACTATGCGACATCTGTAAAAACTTTTTTTTATATCGTCGACAACAACGACGATATTGGACTTCCTCGAACTAATGGGCCACTCTGTACGTGTATCATAGTTTTAAAGTATTATTTTAGTGTTTAGGTAAATTTAATTTATAAATATTTATGAAATAAACGTGCACAACTAAATAGCAGGCTCTATAGAAGGACACTTATAGGTTTTATATTATATACAGGGTGAACTAAGTTACTTATAAATCACTTTGTAAAATATTATATTATACCCAGCGAAATAATATAACTCACAGTGGCAATTCTATGAAATTTAAATTTGAAAGTAGATTGTTTTTCGGCAATTTCTTAAACGTCGTCTGTGGAAAGTGGAAACCATAATTCTCACGCTGGACAGACTATAGTAGACTAACTTTATGACTTCTAGTCTTGACTGCTTGTCACCTGTACTTAGTATTTTACAATTTATAAATCACAAACAATATAAAAATAATGACAACGTATTGTGTATCTATTGTTATTTTTTTTAATAAAAATATTTTCACAGGTATTGTAATTTATCTTCTCATACTCAATATTGACAAGTAGTCGGAGTGTCGTCACTGCTAGTCAAACATATAAAACTGACCCTATGCAATAAGCTGGACTACTTTCGTGACATCACAAATCGTTATCTAGCGTCTTTATTAGAAACGTTGCAAGAGATTTAGCCCATGCCTAGGAAACTCTTATGGAAGTGACAGGTTGTAGCCGAAGGTCCAGTACTAGACGCACGAGGGGGCGCAATTAGCAAAAAAAATTACAAAATTTAAAATGTTACCTATTTTTACCTGGCTTTTACCGCCAAATGTAAAATTTAACCTGTCAACAGTTGTCAATTTATATTTTATTTTGCCCGTTATCCGTAGATTGTGTTTTAAATTTGTTTTTGATTTTTATACGGCTCTGTTCTTGTGTTTTTTCATATTTTTTAACCGTAGACAGTGGTTTTTAAGTGTTGTGTTACTGGCTGTAAGAATTACCAAAAAGATGCCCAAATGCATATGTTTCTGAAGGATCAAATAGTAAGTGCTAACACGTATTACATAGTATAAACCAAGATAGTTTCCCTTAAGATTGTTAATTAATTGCAAAATAGGTTGCCCTAATTGTTATAGATCTAGATATATTTTATTATTATAATGTTTTGTATTGTTTTTGTTATTATATTCAGTTCAATACAGATGGTTTCTTATAGTTTTTTTTTGTGTTTTTGATATATCCCCTTTGTCATTTTAACTTAAATCTATTTATTCGAGTAAATTCGTTCTTTCCAATTTACTTGAATAAATGGAAAAATCCGAAAAAAATAGAAGCTACCCGTTTTAAATTTATGTTTTATTTTGTTACTAGACCCACGAGATGGCGCCACCGCTCGGTCCGAACAAAATGTATTGAGTTTCCTATCTATTTTATATTATATAGTATCCATAGATAAATGAAACAAGTTTAGATTGGAAAGTGCCCATAAGGACATATTTGGCGCTATTCTTGCAACGGTCGCGACCCAAAACTTTTGAAAATTTCGGAGCGGTTCGGCTTTTTCCGGAATTATATCGCCAAATATTGTTTATTCAAATTTGTTATTATTTTCGTTTAATTTTATAAATAAAATACAGTGTGTTGCATACAAGAAACTTTATTTTATATAAGGAAGCATGTATGAAATACCTATGAAACATTGGAAACCGACGTTGTGCCACGATCCACGATGGTTTTTGCAGTTTACAGTTCACAGCACAGCTTTTTAAGTTTTTAATCATAGATAAAAGAAAATAATCTACTATTAAAATAGATATGAAACTTAATAGTAAAATTTTGGGTCAAAACGCCCCTCCGTGTTTTTAGTGGAGACTACATTTAACCCAGCGCCTTCGCCTTTTCTGCTGTAAATGTTTTTTATGTTTATATTTGAATTCAAAGGATTTATTTTTAAAGTTACACTGATATATTAGTATATCAGAGTAACTTTAATAAAACATAAGAATATATATATTTCACAATTTATTTTTTTATTTATTTTACAGAGTTTCATGTAAATGATCGTAAGTCGACTGGCTGTCTAATGAATAGACCGGGATTTATAGATTTTAAAGCGAACGAAAAAAAATCAAACAACGAATACATACCATATATTTTTCTTTTATCTAAGATACATACCTTATCGTCTTTTGGAAACACGCACATTTTTGCAGTTTTGTTAGTTTCTTTGCAAGATGCAACACAACATGAAAACACCATTTTTACAGTTAATAAATAATAAAACTATTTCTGACTATGATATTTAAAATTTAGATAGATAGAAAATTAAAAAACAAACGAGTATTTGCAAACGCAGGCCCAAATTCAATAAAAATCAAAATTTTTCCTGCGAAAATCAGGCTTTTTTCACTGAAAAGGTATTTTTTGATTTATCAGCAGTCATTGTCAAGTTGACAATATACAGGGTGTTATCGAATTAGTCTAAATTATGGGGTGATTCCTCATTTGTTCTTAAAACAATTTTTATACAACCGTTGGGTCTAAAGTACTTCCTTTCTGATCTACAGGGTGTTAAAAATTAAAAAAAAATCGATTTTTTTGCTTAACATAAATGGTACACCACTGCTTTTTTAAAGAAAATATAGTTTTTTTTTTGACTGGCCATCCTTTTCAACACAAATTGATCTTTTGAGTTTTTCTTGTTCGGTAAAACGTTGGTAAAACAGTTGTCGAGAAAAATAAATATACTTATTAAGAGCCCGCCTTAATTCGTTTTCTAACGATTTTTTTTTTTTAGATTAATTAGGAAACACCCTGTATATGCATATCACAGGCAACCAAATAAACTAGTAACCTCTAAAAATTATTTTTCCTACCACTAGCGACATACCGTGTTTTTAGTGTGTACTAAATTATTTTATCAAAATTTCACAATATAAGTTTCCAGGCAATGGTTTTTAATGCCACTTTTTCACAATTATCACCGGTTGGAGTAAATAAAACTTGAATTAAACCATTGTCTGGAAACTTATATGGTGAAATTTTGATAAAATAATTTAGTACTCACTAAAAACACGGTATGTCGCTAGTGGTAGGAAAAATAATTTTTAGAGGTTACTAGTTTATTTGGTTGCCTGTGATATGCATATACAGGGTGTTTCCTAATTAATCTAGAAAATAAAAAATCGTTAGAAAATGGCTTAAGGCGGGCTCTTAATAGTATATTTATTTTTTCTCGGCAACCGTTTGATGAACAAGAAAACTCAAAAGATCAATTTTGTTGAAAAAGGATGGCCAGTCAAGAAAAAAATATATTTTCTTTAAAAAAGCAGTGGTGTACCATTTATTTTAAGCAAAATATCGATTTTGTTTTAATTTTTAACACCCTGTAGATCAGAAAGGAAGTACTTTCGACCCATGATACAAAGAATACAAGGTATGATATTGCGCCGGTTGATCACTACGTCACAGGTGATAAACGGCACCATTGGTCGGCAAGTTCCGCGCGCCAATTTCAAATTGTCCAACAGATGACACAATAAATGTCAAAATAATTTTTCAAATGTCAAGCACGATGATTTGATATGACTTTTAGGGTTATGCCCTAATTCTTCCCTCTTTTAGGTCTTTTTTTATTAGTGGCAATTGCATAATATGGATATTTTTTTGTATGGCGTATGACGTCACAGGTGGTATTCAAACTTAACGAAATTGGGGCCGCTATCGATCATACCTTGTTTTCTTTGTACCATGCTTTAGACCCAATGGTTATATAAAAATTGTTTTAAGAACACATGAGGAATCACACCACAATTTTTTAGACTAATTAGAAAACACCCTGTATATTGTCAACTTGACAATGATTGTTGATAAATCAAGAAATACCTTTTCTGTGAAAAAAGCCCGATTTTCGCAGGAAAATGCCGTTGTTCTTAGCGACCGCTATAGCAGCGCCAGATCGCGTATAACGGTCGCGACCCAAAATAATTTCGCGACCCAAAATTTTTACGGGCTTTCCAATCTAAACTTGTTGCATTTATCTATGATAGTATCTTATCTATGATTTAGCCTCTAAAATCTTATAACTTGAATTAATGTTAAGAGTTCTTTATTTAGGTACATCAAAACACTTGTTCAAAACTTTCAAAATTTCGCAAACAAATTATATTATTTTTATTATTTTTGTTATTGAAAAAGAGTTTAAGCAGAATTTTTCAGTATATTCAATAATAAAAAAGTCATTTTGACATGTCATGGTGGCAAATTACAAAATTTTTTACATAATATGCAAAATGTGAGATTAGAGGAAATAAAAATTGAAAAAAAGTCGACGAGAAAAGAGAATCAGAATTTAATAATATGTCTTTGATATCTTGTCCAAAAATCTTGTCACTTAGATTAAGATTAGAAAGTACACAACTATACTTTCTGCATAATGTAAAAATAATTTTTTAACTTGACGTGATGATTGTTGTCGGATTGTTCCAGGACATATACCTATTTTTTTTTGTATTATTTTACACAGGGTGAGCCTTAAATAAGTGCAAATATTTCTAGTGGTAGCATATTTCGACCTCAGAAACACGATACCTATTGAAGCTTTTTTTCGCCAAAAAAATATTGAAAATTTGGAATTTTTTGGAAAAAATATTGAAAAAATATTGGAACTTTTTTTAGTTTTTTAGTTAAATAGCATAATTTCTTGATAATATGGCAAAAGAAAACCCAGAAAAGATCCAATGGTTCTAAAAATTTAAGAAAAAATTCATTCTTTTAGAAATTTTCAAAGTAAAATATCTCGGTTATTTTGGACTTCTTTGAAAAACGGTAAAGAGAAAATATGATTCTTTTATTGAGATCTACCAGTCCTGAAATTATTTGCACTTATTTAAGACTCACCCTGTATTCTGTAGAAATTCTTGTTTTATGAATAAATGGATAAAAATCTTACTTATTCCTGAAGAATTTATAATAACAGAAGAATAAAAACATTTAACAAACATTTTATTATAGAAAATCATGACTAGGTCTTATTCTATTAGACATAAATAAAACCTCAAACAAACTTAATTAACTTTCCACTTAAATGGATCTATTTTATCAAACTGTTCCTTACCACCTAACTTCCTTAACCTCCTGTTATACATGTGCTTCATAAGAACATACATCCCTGGTGTCATAAATAACAATAAATATATTCTTAAAAATGTTAAATAATCAAAAGTAAAGTTATATTTGTTGGGCATGGTAATTGAGCCTCTTGGGTTGCTGTGAAGGTAAATCATATTCCTGAATATTATAACTGCCTCACAGGTAAAACCAAATGGGTATAGAATAATCCAGGCAGAGTATCTTAACCATTTAAGGGGTGGTAGCAAATATTTCTTAATAAATACTCTTGTACTGTCTGCTCTATTCACTATGTAATATGAATACCTAAAACCAATAAGATTGAAGATGTAGTCTAAGGAATGAAGCATAATCATTTAATTTTCATTGGCTGTACCTTATAATATCATTTATTGTCCATACTAGAAACAAATACGTAGTAACAGGCATCTTCTGTAATTTAGGCTGAAATTGTAAATTTCCAAAAAGTATGAGCAGTCTACCCCCAATCTGCATCATTGGAAAGAACGGGCCTCCTTTAACGTATCCAAATATAGGATGCATTATTTCCAAACATTGGAACATATGTAAAATGCACATCATATGACAAAAATGCGTATTGATGCTCCACACTTCCAGTTCTCTGTTGATTTGCAAAGCGGACTTAATTGCAATATTGACCATCACAAAGAAAACATATGTGAAGCCACAGAGCATAAGAAAATTATAGAGAACTAAATAAACTTCTTTGAAATCCTCTTTCAAATAACCGAGCTCATTTTTCTGTAACATGTTATAAATATCAGGGTAATCATCTCTAACGTCGTTTACTTTCTCTTCTAAGTCTTCTTCTGATTGCCACTTATCAAAATCGATTTTCAACCAACTTGGTTTTTGAGGAGTACTTAAAACTCTCGACCACCAAGCAGGTTTTTCTTTCACCAATCTTATATTGACTGAACTATCCTTAATGTTAATAGATTTTTGCTACAATCAGATCAAAATACGATATGATATGCTTAAAAAGTTATTAAGTATGGTTACATACATCTGGATTAACTTTATCGAAAAACTGTAAGCTGAAACTGTATTCTTTAGTTCCTTGAGCACCAGTTCCAAGAGCACTGAATAATATAGATTGTGCATCGATATTTATGTCCGAATTCTAAATTTAAAATAAGACATTTACATTTACATTCTCTATTTTAGTAATATAGGAATTCTATGAATAATTTACCTTTGCATCTTTTAAGTCGATTTTTAAAAATATGTTACTCTTGTCTTGAGCCCAATACACAAAAGGTGATGGAAGTGCCATATTTTAGAAATACTAGAACTACAATTTCATTTGATAAATTAAAGATAAAAGGCACTTTTCAAGTTTTTTTAGTTGTTCATCGATCATAGATAACTTTCCATACTTTTTCATAAAAATCCATACCACAGATCCATACAAAATCATCAATAGCGTTAGCATTTTTAGCATTTCATAACAATAGTGAAGTTGGATATTTCATATTTCTTCTTAGCTAAATTTAGTGGCATGTGGCATCCAGATCTTCTTCTTCTTCTGTGGAAAGGATCAGTGACTCTGGAAACATCCAATTCCCGATCTAATCCAGTTATGGCCACTTACCCTTACAGCATTTTACCCAGCATTCAGCCAGCACTACAATCAGGGTTCGGAAGTAGTTAATTAAGACGTAATTTACCTGATTAACTACGTGTAGTTTTTCTTCAAAAACTACGTCTCTTCCCGTTCATTAACTACATGAAAACTACGTTAATAAACTATGTATTGATATTATGAATAATTTTCATTTGTATGAGGTGTAATAGAGATAATATGATGTAAATATTATATTTAAAGCCATATTTCTTCTGTTTTCTTAAATACATTATGTGTTTTTAAGCTTCAACTTATTATAACCTCATCTCAAACTTTTGATATTTGAAAGTTACATACATATGTTACATAAACTACATCCTCTACATAAACTACATTAACTACATGTAATGTAGTTTATGTAGTTTTTAAAACTAACATGTAGTTTTCCGAACCCTGACTACAATGTGGCATCACAGGTAAATTTCGTTACAAGATGGTCCATAGAAAATACTGAAAATAGTTTATAATTCCACGTTAGTGTTCTGTGTCACTGTGTGTGTCACTGTCAAAAGTCAAAACCTTCCAACCTCACTTTCGGAATTTGTAAACACGTAAACATTTGTAAACAAGCAAGCAAACCAAACAAAATAATAAAAGAACAATATTGAATGTTTTTAATTCATTAAAATCATATAGAACTTAATATGGCATTCACGTTATGGAACTTATTTGAAGCCACTATTTTATGGCTTAATGCAGTTTGCATATTGAGTGAGGATAGGTTTTTAAGCAAGTGTGAGTAAAAATTATTGTATTTAATTGATTCTAAAAAATTACGTATATTAGTTAATGTTAGCAATAAATAATAGAACTTTTTATTTAAAACAGTTGGTTGGGGTTCTAAAAATACGAACGTTCATGGATTTGGTGAAGCACCCTCTGCTAAATCACAAATTTTTAATTTAATTCATTCAATTCGTACTGTAGCAAGAGGTAAGCAAAATAGATAAATATACCTACAATACATAGTAATTTATTCAATAATTATTTCAGTGCCACTAATAATCCTAAATGCTCTTACGATAGTTCTGGAAGTAATACTTTAGTAATCATTTATAGAAGAATACTTATAATTTTTATTATTATCAGTTAAGAATTATTTTTTGGAATGTAAATAAATCTTTTTTAAACCATCTTTGTCTTTTTTTTAGACATTCAAATGTTTAGGTAGGTTAAATTAGTTTGGTTCCTTCAATTAAGGAGATAACATATGTTTTTTGATCCTCTTCAAAACAAGGTAACCCAGTTTTCTGAAAAAGATCCATAAAAGATTCGTTTTTTGTAAAATATGTGGGCAATAATAGCACTTATTTTAATAATAATATTCTCATTGATATATAGGTTGATTTAAATATATTTTTACAGAAAAATTGTATTCTTTTAATGAAATTCTCTATCTGTATATTTTTATATTCAGTTTATTGTTCATAAAATTATCATAATCTATACTGTATGGTTTTAAATTTAGTTTATTTCTATTGTTTTTATACTCTCGAACTAAACATACTAAAATATGCTAAATGCTTGATACGGGCAGTGCAGGGTGAGTAAATATTAGATAAATTGTTATTCTGCACTGTTAAATGAAACATCCTGTATTTTATGTTATAAATCAACACAGTTGTCTAAATTTATTTCATGAGTACTTTCTATTTCTATACCTAAAATATAGATATTTATAAAATACTTTTGGGGTCTTTGTAAACAAACACATGATTTGTCATGATATACCACGAAATAATAAAAAATATCTATAATAAAAATATTAGAAATATTGTAAGTTATTGCCGCTTAAATCTGATAATTATTTAGACTTAGGTTTTCGACACAGCATAACTTATTAGTATTATTTACTATATCTGCAACATAGTTAACTAATCACTAAGAAAGCTTCAGTGTACCTATGTTATATGGTTTTAAAAGGATAAATAAACCTCAAGAAATAAAGCATTAATATTGTTATTGCATTTTTAGAAAAAGGTAAATCTCTCGGTAAATCTCAAACTTTCATTTGTTTTATTCGTAAAAACCTTTGGTAAAAACAATAAAATGCAATAACATAAACACCTTTAAAAAAATAATTGATGGGTTCAGGGGAAAACATGATAAGCGCCATTTTACTAATTTTACAGGAGAGCACTGGACGGCTGGTGGTTATCAGGTTCTTTATTAGGCATATATCATCGAGGATTAAACAACTTATTGCCTTGCAGTTTTATACATTTTGTAGGGACCCGTTAGACCTACTATAATATTGTAAAATCCTAAAATTAAGAAATTAGCGCTTATCAGGTTATTCCCCTGGTTCCTTCGATTTTAAATTGTAGCTCTAATAATACCCTGTGATCGAATAAAAAACGACTTATGGCAGTCGATGACATTCCATATATAATTTTACATATAAAATAATAAAATAACAACAATCTTCACTTTATAGCCATCGCTGACGCTGTTTTTTTCGATCTTATTGTATATGGCCTTTGTTGTGTTGCACTTTGGTGACCTATAATTTTGGAAAAAATTATCGATGACTGAAAAATGATTTCGCGCACTAAATACAATAATAACAACTATGTATTATACAGGGTGCTACAAATTCGAGGTACGAGCCTTGGTATCTCGGTAACCGTACTAGCTACATGGTTAAATTGGGGCAAAGTTGTGATTTAGGATGTTCACCAAGATGCCATAAAAAAGTTTTAAAAATTTCAAGGATTGCTGAGTTTTTTTGGAAAAACGGATTTTTTTGAAAATCAATTTTATTTTTTCCTTTCGTTACTTTTTAGAAAATCAAAAAACTAATTGCATATTTATTGCTTATAGCCATTTTTATTAGAACTATCTGATGGTATTTTTAGATTTTAATTAGCTCATAATTTGTGAGATACAGAGGCCAATTTTTTTTTAAAATACTGACCTGCGTTTTTATTTCAGGTTTTGAAAGAACTCGGTCTCCTGAGTACAATGATATGCCACACTTGATATTTTTTTTTGTTTTCGATACCTTAACAATAGCAAATATAATAATAACAAAACTATTTAATTGTTATTTAAAATAATTTCAAATCCGGCTCTGGTTTTTTAATTTATTTAATTAATCTGATTATATTCATTACAACAATATTGATCAGCGCTAATTAACATTGAATAAGGAAAATTAATAAAAATGGTTTTGGACATTTGAAATCAATACATTTCAACATTAAGAGTACCTACAAAAACAATTAACGAGTAATAGAGAAACAATTAAAGAGTACAAAATGCATTCGGAATTATAAGAAGATCTGTTCAAAGAGCTATAAATAAGATTGAACGAAAAACAAAGGTGTGCATTGTGCATTATGGAGGGTGGTAACCCTTTCGAACATGCAGAGCAAGTAGAGTCGGGCTGTGGCAGAGCATTAGAAACTAGTTTGAAGAAGTTGATTTATTTACAATAACCACTATTAATATTATGCATATTATTAAATCGCACACTGAGATTTCAAATTCACAATAAAAAAATAAAAATAAAAGATATCTTTAAATTGCTGACATGGATATTAATTATTTGAATCTTTCAATTGGCGTGATTTTCCTTATTCAATGTTAGTTAGCGCTGATCAATATTGTTGTGCTGAATATAATCAGATTAAATAAATTAAAAACCCAGAGACGAACTTCAAATTATTTTAAATAACAGTTAAATAGTTTTGTTACTGTTAAGGTACCCAAAACAAAAAAAGTATCAAGTGTGGCATATCATTGTACTCAGGAGACCGAGTTCTTTCAAAACCTGAAATAAAAAATGCAGGTCCGTATTTAAAAATATTAAGTTAGCCTCTGTATCTCACAAATTAGCTAATTTGAAAATCTGAAAATACCATCAGACAACCCTAATAAAGTGGCTAGGAGAAAGTGCAATTAGTTTTTTGATTTTCTAAAAGGTAACGAAAAAATAAAATTGATTTTTAAAAAAATCCGTTTTTTCCAAATAACTCAGCAATCCTTGAAATTTTTAAAACTTTTTTGATGGTGTTTTCTTGAACATCCCAAGGCGCAACTTTGCCCCAATTTAACCATCTTCGTATCTATTACGGTTTCCGACATACCAATGCTCGTACCTCGAATTTGTAGTACCCTGTACATTATTTCATAGTAAATGCGCGAATTTCGTGATTTATGAAATAAAATCCGATAATTTTTACAATTTTTCATATTTCCACACGCAAATTCGTCATCTTTCGTACGTTATCTAATCGTACGCGTACCACCTGACGAAACACATTCAGCAGCACCTTCGGGTACCACCACCATGCAGGCCTGGGGCTTCCTGATCGTTACATCAACGCCGTATTCCAATAGAAGGGGACCTGAGACCAATATCAAAGAAATTACCAGCCTTATCTCTTCGAACGAGAGAGAAAGTTTGAAAATAACCGTCAATAGTACCGCTCGTACCGCTTTAGTACTCATTTTTTCGGTTTTTATCCGACTTATGCCCTGACCTATAATGACTTTGACCAATTTTTTTCTTCTTACGTTTGTTTTAACGGGATTAGTAATTTATTGTGAAGGGAATAGTACCGCAAAAGTACTTAAGGACGATGCAAGTGATACGGTGATCGCGCCTTCTTTGAACAAGGTGTTGAATATATTCAGTTCGGATATTTTGAGGGAACAATGGACTGGAATTCGAGACAAAATCTCTGGTGGTTGCGGGAAGAATCTGGAAACTTATCTGGATGGACTGGCAAAAGCGGAAATGTGGGCACTAAAAAGTAAGTCTATATTTATTATCATAAAACCTGTGTTTTAAAAAGAACACCAGAGATAACGGACAGTTTTAAAGCCATATAAAATTGTTTAAAAAAACGAAAGTGGACACTATACAGAGCAGTGATGAGCCTTTGAGCACAGTTACGCCACTTAAGGAACCCTTTTGCAAAATATCGTGGTTCTAGTCGAAACAATCTTGGTTGTGCGTTGATCTCTAAGTCAGTATTAGAATTGAGAATGAATGAATTTATACAATGTGAATCAGTGAAATGGAAAAAATTCGATAATAAATAAATGGAGACATATTCGAAAAACATATCACGTCGATTTTGATTTTTAATTGTGCATATTTTTCAATAAAAAATGTATATAGGATGTGTTATGTGTCAGTGGCCAATGCCAACTTTTTCATTTTTAATATGTATATTTTCTCTAAATGTGCATCCTCTATATTATTCAATTTTTGGATTTTTCGCAAAAGCAATCATATTTTTTTTATGTACAATGTCCTATATATACCGGGTGCGTCTCAAAACTGGCTCGCCCCCGAGCTCGCCCCTATAACTTTGTTATTTTTTCAGATTAAAAAACGAGATTTGGTATATTAGTATATGACCTAAATTAGGATTGATTGACGTATTTAATTGTTTTTGGTCACTTCCTGTTTCATCGGAAATGACTACAACTTTTGATTTTTAAATGGGACCAATATCAAACTTTTACTTTATTCGATAGAAAATGATACTCTGGAAGAATGACATATTATATGTCAACTTTTGACATTTTCGCATATGGTTTATTTGAAATTGTAACGTGCGGTTCATAATAACATTCATTTTACTTGAAACTCCAAGTGGGTGGTCAAATTATTCGTAAAAAATGCTTTTTCCAAATATGCTAATGAGCCACTCTTGTTCCATTAGAAAAAATTGAGATATGATTAAAAATACGATTTGGGCATGTTTTAACCGACCAGGACAAGACCAAACCAAAACATTAGACGATCAAATCTAATTTTTTCTCCTTGATTAAAAATTAGCATTTTAACACAGCCACATTTAAAATATGATTTTTTTAAGCGAAACTGTCAAAAGTTGACATATGATATCTCATTCTATCCAGAGTGTCATTTTCTATCGAATAAAGTAAAATATACCGAGGGTGCCGTTTAAAAATCAAAAGTTGTAGTCATTTGCGGTGGAAAAGGAAGTCACCAAAAACAACTGAATACGTCAATCAATCCTAATTTAGGTCATATACTAACATACCAAATCTCGTTCTTTTATCTGAAAAAATAAAAAAGTTATATGGGTGAGCTACTTTTGAGACACACCCGGTATCTCATAACTGTTTTAGAAATATTAAGTGGCTTTTTCCTAATTACTCGGTTATATTTAAACCTATGCTTGTGATATTTGGTATATGACTTACTTATTTTGAACTTAAACGAAATGTAAAACAGATTTTTAAATAAACTATAGGTACCAACATTTTGTGGAGTGACTGATATATGCCAATTTTGAAGTTTTACATAGTTTTCTAGGTACATAATATGTATTTTGCAATATAATACCGTATGATCGAATAAAAACGGCGTCAGCGATGGCTACGAAATGAAGATCGCTGTCATTTTATATGTAAATTTATATGTTTATTTTATTATATATATATTTTTATTTATTAATCATATTTTTATATGGAAAATGTCATCGATTGTCATTTCCCAGCCAACTGGTCGCCGTTTTTTTTTTCGATCATACGGTATATGGTGTGGACCTACTTTTTTCTATACAAAATATATTTTGTCAGGTTTAAGACGTTTGTTGTTATATTTTACTCTGAGCGGTTATGTCAGGGTTTACCGCAAAATTATTAAAACTTTCGAGAAAGTATGTTACTTAATTCTAGGCAATTACGCGATGTAATAATATTAAGCATTTCCAATTTAAGGAAATAAATAAAAACTAAATATATATTCAGTACCGTACCTAAAGCTCACTAAAATTGCTTTGGAGTTTCAGAATTTTGTTTATTTTTTACTAACTAGAGATACACGGTTTTTTTAGTGGTAATAAAAGGAGGGTAATTTTAATGAATATCTGTTTTATGAAGAAAATTTGATCCAAACGCCAAAAATTCTTGAATATCAAAACATATACAGGGTCACTGTTATGTATGGAATATGGAAACGGTCTATTATTATAGGTTAAATATAGGAGGTACCGCAAAAAGTTAAATACAAAAGTTATAGGATTTTTAAATATCTATTAGCGAGTAATAGATTTAAGTATACAGGGTCTGTCATAAAGTCGCGGCACATAAAAGTTTATTTTTTTTTAAATAGAACCCCTTGTATATTATTGCATATTTCAATTCTTCCTTCAATTCTAAGCAAAAATCGAAATACACACAATGTCCTCAAACCAACCGTTTCCGAGTTATTGACTTTTGAAAATATCACTTAAACAATTTGATTTAATTAATTTCGATATGTTCAGTTTCATTTAACGATGCCATTCTGCCGAAACTGTGATACTTATACTTAATAATATTTAACATTAGTTCTCAAGTTAGATTTATAGATGTATAAAATGAGATTATATCAAGTCTAGAAATTACAAAATTTTCGTTTAACAATTCAATTCTTCAATTTATGTACATTGTGTATTACGATTATTGCTTAAAATTGAAGGAAGAATAATTGAAATATGCAATAATATTCAATATACACGGGGTTTCATTTAAAAAAAAAAAATATGTACCACAACTTTATGACCGACCCTGTATACTTAAATTTACTAGTAGCTGATAGGCATTTAAAATCCCATTAAAACAGTATCACAGTCGGTGGAATGGCATCGTTAAATGAAACTGAACACATCGAAATTAATTAAATCAAATTGTTTAAGTGATATTTTCGAGTCAATAACTTGGAAACGGTTGGTTTGAGGAGATTGTGTATTTCAATTTTTGCTTAGAATTGAAGGAAGAATTGAAATATGCAATAATAATCAGGGGTTCTATTTAAAAAAATGAAAATTTTATGTGCCACGACTCTGTGACCGATCCTGTATACTTATTTATTACTCGCTAATAGATATTTAAAAATCCTATAACTTTTGCATTTAACTTTTTGCGGTACCTCCTATATTTTACCTAATAATCGACCGTTTCCATACATAACAGCGACCCTGTATATCAAGTCATGTTGATACTAAGGGCTGGCAAAGGTTAGTCTTGGGTCGAGATTTCCGTATGTAAGAAGAGTACAATGCGTTTATAATCTACTGAACAAAGAGAGGACAGTAAACACGTTGCCAAACGTATGAAATAAACCGAGAAACTGTGCACATCGTTAAGAGACGTGGAAGGGGATATAGCAGATTTGTCGCAGTTGACCGGTCGACCCAGTCAATTGAGTCAATACCTCTGTCAGTACTTAAAGTTCTAGGGAAAGGTGTACGTCATGCGTTCAGCTTCACGATTTAATTACGTCTCGTGATACTTAATTTGTTTATTTATTAACGAGTCGTTGTAATTTCCCCTATAGCTTGAATTTGTTTAAGTGCAAGCTAGTAACACTTGCATTTTTGGTAAAAATAAGTGGAATTGAGTCGGTGTTCGATAGTGGTCGCGTTATTAGAACTCTGAATTCAAAATTGTAGTTTTTTCAAGAACTTTGTTAATATTTCTGCTGTATTTTCTTTGTAGACAGTATGTAAAAATCTTTATCAATAAAAAAATTACACGATTGCTGAAAATTGCTATGCTCTAAAAGTAAATGGATGGATTGTTTACAATTTTTGAATGGAAAAACCAACCTTATCGAATTTTTCTTATGTAAACATATTGTAAAATATCCGATCTTGAAAATAAAAATAAAGTTTCAATATCTAAAGTGGTTCTTGAGTTATGGCCTGTATTAAAAAGTTGAGTTTTTAAATTATCGCGATTGAAAAAAAATGATACCTTAACGATATCCTTATGATGTTCAGAAACATGTCTAATGATTTTATCTAGTTATCTCTCTCATCTACACAAAAAAGTAAAAGAAATTGGTGGTATCTACAACAAAAGACCTACAACCACTCTTAGAAATGATCAAAACGAACCGATCATAGACCCAGACGAGTTACAGGAAACCTGGAAATCATACGTGTCCAGCCTTTTCAGTGACGACAGAACGCAGAGTACGCCCGAAGTTATTAACAATATACCGGAGGGACCGAGCATATTGGAGAGTGAAGTAAGATATGCCATGAAACTAATGAAGAACAACAAAGCTCCCGGGCCAGATGATATGTATGCAGCATAGACTTAAAATAAAATATAGACTACACTATTTACATCTCAACGCGGACAAACAACCTTTTTTGTACACATGTTTACTTCTGGGTACAGTCGACCTCAGTCGACCGAGCCTTCCTCATCCAGCCTATGTTGTCACGTCTTTAATATTATCAATATTTTTTTTCTTGTTATACACATATATTGAGATATTAATACTACAGTTTAATAAAGTAGGTTTTAATATTCCATAGATGTATTAAATAGTCCTTATACTACTAAATTATAAGTTGGATACTGTTTAAAAAGGATAAGTTCTTTACAATATGACAACACCGATTAGAGGCGAGGGAGCCTATTCATTCATTTATTACCTTGTAGTACGCGTCGCACGTGTGCGGTAAAGCTTTGTTGCCGCTATGTTCCCGGCTGTATTAACGCATTTTCTTAGCTTGTAGTCCTTAAGTGTTTATTTTATTGACTTTTTCTGTTCAAGAACTATAAAATATGGTTCGCCAGTGCCAAATTTGCAAGAAAAATTTGACTTAAATAATTCATTTAAGTCTTGAAACTCTCAATTTACCCATTAGGAGTCAATGGCGTTGTTGTAGAAAGGCGCTTATTTAGATAATATTTTAGTAAAATGTAAAATCTGAATTTTTTCTCTTACATTACGTTGTTTACTTACTTACATTGTAACAGAATCATAATTATA